CAAAATATTGATTGGTAATATTTTCATTGAATACAACTACAAGTACAATTGTCCTCGAGGGGTCTTTGTACTTGAAAAACCATACATAAAATTACAATCATTATGTTAAAAAAAAATTACACACATTGAGTTTGTAAAATTACAGTAATCAATTTAAATAATAAGAAGAGAAAAAAAGGTTTCAGTGCATACTACATACATCATAATTATGTGCAAAAAAAAAAAAAAAGAAAAGAAAAAAAGAAAAAGAAAAATGAGAGAATTTCGAACGGAAAAAAGGTAGGGTTTGATTGAAGAAGGGGAGTGTAACATTTATTTCTATACTGATTGGCTTGCCAACCAGTAGAGAAATATACTAATTAATATATCTGCAAGTTTCCATTGAAAAATAGTAGTTCTAACTGTGGAACTACTATAGAGAGCTTCCTAATAGCAAGCAAAAAGTGTACTGTTATATATATATTATTTTCTTGGAAGGTACTATTATATATATATATATATATATATATATATATATATATATATATATATTCACACAGAACAAAACTTGCGTTATCCACTTGCTTTTCTGGAATTTAGCTGGAAACAATGCCAGTGATTTCTCGCCTTTTGCATCCATTACCTTCTAGATAGAAAAAACGTAACAAAAACTTGAATTGACAATCCAATACATACTGTACACACATTATAAAAGCGAAAAAAGAAAAACTTGCAATTTTATGGTCCTTCTTTCCCAATCTAAACAAACCAAATACTAGTCGACTCAACTCAAAATGTATCATCTATATATTCATTTATGTATGACCTTACACATATATGTATATATGTATGACCTTCTTCAATAAGATTGGAACAACAAAGGGACACAACTTGCATGATGCTCTGTCCTTGTTGACGAGTTAAAGTCTCTTCCTTCACTGTCCTCTTCAGATTTTTCCTTCCTCTTTCTTGGCCTTCTCTGGATTTCACTTCCATTCCTCATGCAAGTATACACGGAATGATAACTTATCAAAAAAAAAAAAAAAAGTATTCACGGAATGATAATGTCATCTTCTTTATTTTTCCCTTTTACCTCCCTTCCATTTAGTCCCTTTACTTTTTGCAAAAACTAAAATCTCCCCGGTCTCTTCTCCTTTCTCTATCTTTTTTCTATGTATTTAATATGAATTTTATTTTGTTTTCAGTGGAAATGTTTCATTGCATTCGGAGTACTCATCATCATATGTCTTTGGTGGTATTCTTGCTGGTAAGTCCTGCTCTTTCGATATGTGTGTGCCACGCATGCATGTGTGTGTGTAATGTTTTTGAACTCCCCATTTTTCTTTTCCTTCATTGTTTCCAGATACCAATATACCTGAATTTTTTTTTTCCAAATATATTTTCCCCGTAACTTCTACATTCTGGTCATGAAAATATGAGCTTTTTGCAAAAAAAAAATATTGATGTTTTTAGTTGTATGACTAAGATGTACATAGCACTTGAAAAGCCAAGGAAAGCCTACGTGGTGACCCTTTTGGTTACCTTTGAATTGTTTTTGTTTTTGATATAACAAAAAGGAAGTGTGTGTGTGTGTGTGTGGGGGGGGGGGGGGGGGGGGGGGGGGGTGGGGCCCTAGGTTCCGCCAATGCGGAGTCTAGGGAGGGTCAGATGTATACAGCGTTATCTCTGCATGTAGAGATACTATTTCCCGTTTAGGTCACAATGGAGCAACTTTACCGATGTGCCAAGGCCCGTCCTCTGTTATGTCGTGTGTATTATATAATAATGTATGCATTAAATGTTAAAAAGAAGCAACAGCTGAGTATGTCACCAATTATGCTTCTTGAATCACTTTGTTGTATAAGATATATGCACATTTTATATATTGTTTTGGAGCAGTTGGAACATTGTCTAAAGATATAAGCACATTTGCTAAGTATTTTGTTCTATTGGCTTGGAAATCTCCTTGCACTCTTTCTTCTCTCTTCTCTCTTCTCCAGATTCTACTATTTGCTTTTGTAAATCCATCTTTCATTGAAAAAAAAAAAAAAAAAATGAAAACCCTAGGCATCTCCTTTGCTTTTGTTAACATACTCATCAAAAATTATAAGCCCTTAGGAATTTTTTTATTTATCATACCATCAACACCCCCTCATATGCGGTCAGACTTTCTTCCTTGAGTGGACCACACACTTGCATGTACTACAGTTATTGAGATGTTACTATTCAAGCACAAGTCCTTATTGCTTTCATACCATGTTGATAACTGACTCCTCTGAAAGCTTAAGCTATTAGATAGGTATGCAGCTTAATTATTTATATCTGAATAGCAACAATAGCCATACTGTAGCATCTGATCAATACCTGCCATTTTTAATGCATGAGCAGTTGAATCTGGTCAGCTTACACTTCCAAGATATCAATGAACCCACCTCAGTGACTGAGAACCCAAGCAGAGAATAATATTCCCTTCCTTAAGACCACATTCCATATGCAATTTGACTACCTTTGCTTCTGAAGAGAAACTTACAAAGATTAAACAAGTCATCAGGAAAAAATCTGCAAAAGTGGAATGCTCCATACCTTTATGTCCCTGAAGCAGTCTCCTCAATGTACCATCAGAAAGGAACTTTTCAATGGACAATTTTCAGAAATCTCTATTTTCTTCCTTAGTTACCAAGTCTAGGATGAGGACCAATTCCTCTTCTCTGGATCTCGTTTCACAATCACCATCCAACAAGAGGTATGATACCTGACCTACCTGTTTATATTACTCCATTCCTTCTGCAATAAATTGCCTGTTGCAACCATGGTAGGAAAGAGCTTCTCTGTCTTGTATTCCCTTGTGCCAACTCAAACTTTGTTGTGCAATATCAAGCAATATCTTAATATAACTGGCCTCTTTTAAATTCTCAATCATCTAGTGGGGATAAATTACCTCTTCCATTGCTTTTGCAAGAAGCTTTGTTGCGCATGGTATCCAAAAGTCTGTCACGTGTCAATTGGAGCCATCTGGAACTACAGCACATCTGCTTTGATATTATTGCAATCTTCATGAGGCAGTATAATATCCCCCATTAGATTTTTCTCTGCAAAAGAAAAAATCTAAACATTTCCACAACATTGAGAAAAATATATTTTTTCCAAGAAATGGAAACTGATATAAACTTATCAAAAAAAAAAAAAAGAAGAAGAAGAAGAAGAAGAAGTGAAATCTGATACAAGCGTTTAGTGGCCTTTTGATTGGGAGAATTTCTGGATAGACTGACCAAATGAACTCTGTTTAATATGGAGGATTATCCATTATATAAAAACCAGTCTCTTTAAAATAGAGGGACACCCATTCGATCATCCTCTACCTCCAACTTAGAAATCTTCAGTTCTTTTACAGAAATATGTCTTTTGATACCACTTTGATTTTCTGTTTTGCTGTGTTGGATCCTGATATCCCTATTTAACATCTATCTACCATGTAGGCACAGTTTTGATATTACTGATTCATGTTGACCTGTTTACCTTGTCATTTGCTTATGTTTGTTCAAGCATTTCTAATGTTTCACTGGTTAACATCATGGAAAAACTATTAAAATAAATTATGTTTTTCATGCCCTGTGTAAATGTCCTTGGTTACAATTCTGGAGATGTGCTGTTTTATGTGGCTGTTGTTGCTTGAACTGTGATCAAAGTCATTCGTTCTGGTTTTAAATATGTAACTTTGATGTGGCTTTGGTTTCTTTGACTCTGATCGCTTATGACAACCACAGATGAGATGGGTTTGGGCAAAACAGTTGAGCTGCTTGCTTGTATCTTTGCTCATCGGAAGTCAACATCTGATGGTGGCATTATTTATGACAACACAGTTCAAGTTACTGGGTATCAGAAAAACCTCAAGAGATTGAAAAAAGAGCGTGTGGAGTGTATATGTGGGGCTGTGAACGAAAGCTTTAGATATAAAGGATTATGGGTGCAATGTGATATATGTGATGCTTGGCAACATGCAGATTGTGTCAGTTATTCAACCAGGGGGAGAACTGCAGAATCCAGAGAAGTCTCCAAAGAACAAGGATATGAAAAGAAGCCAACAGGAAGCTCAAGAAAGCACACAAAAAGGAAAAATAATACTAAAATAGTGGTGATGGATGGGGATTACATCTGTCCGCTGTGCTCTGAACTTATTCAAGCAACTGACTCTCCAGTTGCTACAAGTGCAACTCTCATAGTATGTCCGGCTCCTATATTGCCCCAGTGGCATGAGGAAATTATTCGGTACCACTCTTGATTTAGCTTTACTGTCTTTGTTACATCTCTTTAGAGCACATCAGAGCTAACTTGTTATATATATAGTATGCAAATACCCCCCTGGTGTTCCAAAAAACCCCTCACATTTTCCAAATTGAGCAAATAAGGACATTTTGTCAATTTGAAGACTGAAATACCTAAAATGCCCTTAAGTCAAAATAAAAATAAAAAACACTGATTTCATAGAACACTGATTATTAAGGGTATTTTTATAAAAAAAAATTTGGCCAAATTTGACGGTCCAGGGGAAATTTGCACATATTTTCAAATGTTAGGCATTTATATGCACATACTAAATTTCAGGGGTGTTATTGCACATTTTTTATATAGCAAGGTTTTTTTTTTTTTTTTTGCACTTTACCCTTTTAAAATTTGTAAAATGTTAATGGGATCTTGCCTGATTGAAAGTAAAATTATGTGAAGGAACAAGAAGATGCAGAAAATTTGCTCATCTATAGAAATTTTATTTCCTCAGTGACAAAAGAAACTTTATTGTTGGCTCTCTTATGCATTTGACACATGATAATACCACTTTTATGTGTAATGTAATGATGTAATCAATAATTTTGTTGTGCTGTGCACGAAATTTGTGTAAAAGGAAAAGATTGTGGTATGATTTTCTGGGGATTATAATTTAGGAGGAATAACAGGATCTAGAAGGTGAGTGTTCCACTGGAGAGGATCTTTGGGTTGTGGTTTAATTTTTATCTATTACTGGCCGAGTGATTTGTTGTTTCTGGAGTGTTTTTGTGTGTGTTCGTTTCATCTTTGTCATGCGCTCGTTCTTGGAGGTTGCAAGATTGCCTCGAATGGTTCAAGGTGGTGTTGCGAGATCTGCAAATCCGTATAGGGGACCATCGATTTATTTGGATGACGACTCGGTTAGTAGGAGAAAAGATGACCTTAGGTCGTGTTTGGTGGGTTTTTTTTTATAAGGAAGTGAGTAATGGAGCACAGATTGCGGCGTGGGCTTCGAGAGCTTGGAAGATCTCCTCTGGTGTGTCGGTCTCGCCGTTGCCTGACTCGCTTCTTTTGTTTCGATTTCCCTCAGCAGCCAAAGCATCTCGAGTTCTTAAAGAGGGTCGACGTGACTGGGGGAAGGCAACTCTTCATGTGGATGCTTGGAATTTCAGGGTCGGATGTTCGGAGATCTTGAAAGAGAAGGGGTCGAAGAAGGTGACGATTTATGGCCTTCCACTTCACCTGTGGAGTCATGCTTTGTTTGTGACAGTTGGCGATTTATGCGGTGGGTTTATTTGGGTGGTGGCCGATGAGGCCATTGCTGAAAGAGTTTGTATTATAGTCTCTAAAGGAAAGGTTTGTCCACCTTTTGTGTTCGTTTATGACGATCGGTACTGTTACAAGGTGGCAGTTTGGGAGGAGAAGCACCCCGAGCTTGTTCCGACGACGGATTGCTTGGAAGGAGGCGATGGTTCACATCTGCTTAAGGAAAAAGAATGGTTGAGGTGGGAATCTATGGGGAAAAAAAAAGGGAATGGCAGAGTTCCAGAGATGGAAGAATTGGAGAGATGCGTTGTGGATTCGTAATAAGGAATGTTTCAGAAGGCTTTTTGTTCAAAAACGTAGGGATGGTCTTTCGTCTGGTTTGAATCGGCATCAACCTGATGGTCTCCGGAAGATGCAGTGGAATGGAGGATCCACCGGGATTAGTCGTCGGCGATTTTTGCAGCGGTGGGATTAGAAAGGGTCTCGTCGTGGTGGTGTTCACGCACAACAAGCGCGTGGGAGTGGGAAGGGGAGAATTGCTGACCAACCACGTGGTTGGCTCCCAGGAGTTGCTCGTTCACAGTGGAATACAGCTGTTTCCACGAATTTTTCAAATTCTGCTAAGTGGGCTGGTAAGAATCCAAAGCCCATACACGATGATGGGCCTGATGTTGGGCTGGGGATTGGGGCTTTAGTTGATTGTGAGGGTTGTACTTCTTCTGGTGGGCCTGTTCAGAGGCATCCAGTTATTGGCAAGCCCGTTTGTGATTTGAGGTTGGATGGTGGACTGGTTACCCAGTCTTTTAAAGATGGGTTGGTTGGCGGGTCGGTTGCCCATTCGCTTGATGGTTCAGCTGGGTTGAATACTGGGCAGGTTGGTGGGTCTTCTTGCTATGGGCTTGAGTTGAAGAATAGATTTGAGCCATTGACTTCCGCTTCGGTTGGTAGTGACTCGCAACTTTCTGGAAGAGTCAAGGGGGATCGGCGTTTTAGGGATCGGGTGAAGCTAAGACGTCTTCCTAAGAAAAAGATCCGTTTTCCTGCTCTTCGCAAGCGTTGGACACGAAAGGATAAGCAGAAATGGGTGGCGTCTGTGCAATCGGAATTTGATCCGGGTAAGTCTACTGTCGTTTCTGGGGCACCTTCTTCTTGTTTCTTCTCTCCCTCTGCTCCTTCTCCTTCTCAAGGGGGGTCGAGTTTTTCCTTTGATTTGAAGGATAGATTGGAGAACGAGCGAAAGGATGGTGTTGGGGTTTTCCAGGTTGATGGATTGGGTCCATCTCGGTCTATGATTCAGAAGAATGAGAGTGTCACAGTTTGTGTGGGACGTGATTTGAAAATTTGTTTGGATGATGCTTCGGCGACTGTGTTGCTGAGTGAGTTGCGGACTCATTTTACTTTAAAGGGTTTTCAGTGTGGGACGAGTGGGTATTTGGCTGCTGAGGAAAATGGGACTTTGCTGGATGGTCATTCTCCTCCCTCGTCAGTCTTTGAGGATGGGGATGGTGGGTCATGCTTTACTTTTTTTGAGGATTTGGGGTCAGGTCAGTGGAATGGCAATGAGATGAATTTTGATTTCTTTGCTCCTTTGGCGGTTGTTCATCCGGATGAGGTCTTTGAGGATGGGGATGGTTCTGATTCAGGAAGGGTTATGGAGGATAATTGGGTGAAGGAGAAAGGAATTGAGATTTGCTCTTTGTTGGGAGTTTCTTTTGAAGGACGAATGGAGGAGGCGACGAATATGTTTTTGGAGGTTCTGTCTTCTCAGAATTTGGACAGAATGGGTGGTAGGGAGAGTAGGGGGAGCATGCCGGGGGAGTTGGAGGTGGAGGAGAGGGGAGTGTTGAGCCCAACGGCTCTTGTCACTTATGAAAGAAGGAACAAGGGGTCTAGGGAAAAGGGTGGTGGAGGGAGGGATGTGTCTATCCAATCCGTTGTTTCCTTATGAAGCTACAAATCCTTTCTTGGAATGTCCGGGGTCTTAATGACCCGGTTAGTAGAAAAGTGGTGAAGGCGGTGATTCGTAAAGGGGGTGGGCATGTAGTGTGTTTGCAAGAAACAAAGATTGAGACGATGACGGATTTGTTGGTGTGTAGTTTATGGGGAGGTAGATTTGTGGAGTGGTTTGCTTTGGATGCTATTGGATCTGCGGGTGGTGTTCTTGTGATGTGGGATAATCGGTGGGTCTCTATGATGGAATCTCAGGTTGGGCGTTTCTCTGCTTCCTGCATATTCTCTGCGTTGGAGGATGATTTTTGTTGGGCTTTTTCTGGTTTTTATGGCCCTACTGAGGATTGTGTGCGTCATTTGCTTTGGGCGGAGCTGAGAGAGGTTCATAGGAGATGGTCTTTGCTTTGGTGTATTGGTGGGGATTTCAATGTTGTTCGTTCCCCGTTTGAGAGATCGTCAGGTGGTAGGTAGACGGTCGAGATGGAGGCTTTCTCGGAGTTCATTGATGTTTTTGGTTTAATTGATCTGCCTTTGGTGGGTGGGCCCTTCACTTGGTCTAGTGGTCGTTCTCCTCTTACCTTTTCTAGACTTGACAGATTCCTGGTGTCGAGTGATTGGGAGGAACACTTTTCGGATGTTATCCAGACCACTTTAGCTCGTCCTTTGTCTGACCTGGTTCCTTTGATGTTGGACTGTGGTGGGTTACGCAGTAGAAGATCCCCTTTCAGGTTTGAGAATATGTGGCTTCGGGCTGAAGGTTATCTGGATCTTGTCCGATCTTGGTGGGTGGGTTATGTTGTTGCTGGCACCCCTAGTCATTCCCTTGCAGGTAAGCTGCGGTTTTTGAAAAATGACTTCAAAGTCTGGAACAAAGAGGTTTTCGGTAATCTTGCGTGGAGGAAGAATCGGGTATTTTCTGAGATTGTAGACATTGATAGATTGGAGGGTCAAGGATCTTTGTCAGATTCCTTGAAGCTTAGGAGGGTGGAGTGTCAGGCGGAGTTTGCTGAGATTGCGGTCATGGAGGAAATTTCTTGGAGGCAAAAGTCTAGAGCTTTGTGGCTTAAGGAAGGTGACAACAACACGAAATTTTTTCATAGACTTGCCAATGCTCACAAAAGAGGCAATCATATTGGGAGGATTCGGGTGGAAGTGGAGATGTTTTAAAAGGAAGATGAGATTTGTAAGGGTTTTGCTGATTACTTTTTAGTTTTGTTCTCTGAACCGGTTGGGTGGAGACCTTTACTGGCTGGGCTTCATTTTGACTGTATTTCGGATGAGGATTGTTCTCTTTTGGAGGTTCCTTTCTCTGAAGACGAAGTTTTGTCTTCTTTGAAAAGTTGTAATGGGGATAAAGCCCCAGGTCCAGATAGCTTTTCTTTACGTTTTCTTTTGGAGTGTTGGGAAGTGGTCCGAGATGATGTGATGGGCTTTTTTCATGCTTTCCATGCTCATGGTTCTTTTGAAAAGAGCTTGAATGCGACTTTCATTGCCCTTGTTCCGAAAAAGGGAGGAGCGCTGGATGTTAGGGATTTTCGTCCTATTTGTTTGGTGGGTTGTTTTTACAAGATGCTTGCCAAAGTCTTAGCCTCTAGGCTGAGGAAGGTTCTGGATGGCGTCATTTCTGATTCTCACAATGCTTTTGTGGGAGGTCGTCAGATTTTGGATTCGGTTCTTATTGCTAGTGAATGTGTGGACTCCAGGTTGAGTAGTGGGGTTCCGGGTGTATTGTGTAAGTTGGACATTGAGAAGGCTTACGACCATGTGTGTTGGAGTTTCCTCATCTACTTGATGGAGAAGATGGGGCTCGGGGAGCGTTGGAGGAGATGGATTCTGTTCTGTATCTCTAGTGCGCGCTTTTCTGTCCTTGTGAACGGAGCTCCAACAGGGTTTTTCTCTAGTTCGAGGGGCTTGAGACAGGGGGATCCGCTTTCTCCTTTCCTTTTTCTTTTTGTGATGGAGGCTCTTAATAGGTTGTTGAAAAAGGCTGTTGATCTGGGATTGTTGAGAGGCTTTCGGGTGGGTAGAGATGTTGCTAGTCAGTTGGAGATTTCTCACTTGATGTTTGCTGATGATACCTTGGTTCTTTGTGATGCTGATGCGTCCCAGCTAAGACATTTGAGATGTGTTTTGATTTGGTTCCAAGTCATCTCTGGGCTTAAAGTGAATGTTGGAAAGAGTGTTTTAGTGCCGGTCGGGGATGTTCCTGATATTGAGATGTTTGCTCAGATCCTCGGATGTGGCACTGGCTTGTTTCCTATTTCTTATTTAGGTTTGCCTTTGGGTGCTCTTTCGAGATGTGTGGGGAGTTGGGATCCGGTGGTGGATAGATTTGAGAAGAGGCTGGCGTGTTGGAAGAAGCAGTACCTATCCAAAGGGGGGCGGGTCACTCTGATCAAGAGCACTCTCTCTTGCCTTCCCACCTATTTATCTCCCTTTTTCAGATTCCTTCTTCGGTGGCGGAGAGAATTGAGAGTTTGCAGTGGAATTTTCTTTGGGGAGGGAGAGGAGAGGAGTTCAAATATCATCTGGTTCGATGGGAGCAAGTGTGCCGTCCCCTTCGGAGTGGAGGCTTAGGGATTCGAAGGTTGTTGCCTCTCAACAGGGCTCTTCTTGGGAAATGGCTTTGGAGATTTGGGGTTGAGAGACTTTGGCTTTGGAGGAAAGTTATTGCCAGCAAGTTTGGGGAAATCAGTGGTGGGTGGTGTTCTCTTGAGGGGCGTGGTCCTAGGGGTGTGGGGGTTTGGACTTGCATTCGAAAGGGACGGGACGTTTTTCGTAATCATGTTCGCTTTAGGATCAAGGATGGTAGGAGGATCAGATTTTGGGAGGACCTTTGGTGTGGGGAACTTCCCCTTGCTCTTTCTTTCCCTCGGCTTTACAGGATTGCTTCTGACAAGCAGGCCTTGGTAGTTGACTGTTATCACCTTGATAACGGAAGACTAACTTGGGACGTTCAGTTTAGGAGGCATTTTCAGGATTGGGAAATTGAGGAGGTCACTCGTTTTTTGGAGTTACTGTATCGCGAGGTGATCTCTCATGAGGAGGCTGATTGTTGGCTTTGGAGTCCACACTCTCAGGGTCGTTTCGAGGTGAGATCCTTTTTCAGATGCCTTTCTGATGGGGAGGGTGGCACTTTCCCTTGGAAGGCTATTTGGCGTTCCAAGGCTCCCCTTAAGGTAGCCTTTTTTGCTTGGACGTCTGTCTTGGGTAGGATTTTAACCCAGGATAATTTGAGGAGGAGAATGCAGGTGGTTATCAATCGCTGTTGCTTGTGTCGTTGCGATGAGGAGACAGCGGATCACCTTCTGTTGCATTGCAGTATGGCCAGAGATTGTTGGGATTTGATGATTGGGTTATTTGGGGTTCCCTGGGTTATGCCCTGTTCCTCTAGAGGGTTGATTGAGGCTTGGAGAGGGGTCTCTGTTGGGGCACTCATCCGGGATGCTTGGAGGGCTACCCCTCTCTGTGTTTGGTGGTGCATTTGGCTCGAGAGGAATCGAAGATAGTTTGATGGCAAGGAGAAACCCATTTCTATGCTTAAGTTCTCTATTATTTCTACTCTCTTTTGTTGGGTCTCAGGGAGAGATTATCGTTATGTTGAGGAGATTGTTATTTTTTTGGCCTCTTTGAAGGCTTGAGGCTCTTTGTGGTTTTTTTTCATCTTGTTTCCATGGGTTTCGCCCCCCTTTGAGCGTTTTTTTATAAAATTCTTATCAAAAAAAAAAAAAATTCTATTACTGGCCTTCCATTGCCGAAAGTTCTTAGTTAGCGGACTCGAGTGTTTTCTTTAGTGGTGGATTGATGTGTCTTCATCTTTTTCACAAATAATGTCATCTAGTTATATGACATCTTTACCTGTGAAGGGAACTAAATTTAACTTAAATGATTGCTCGCTTGAGAATCTGGGTCAGATGGAATCTGGACGATTTTTGAGAGGCTACAGGGTGCACTGTTCTTCCCTCCCGCCGCCCTATCTCTCTGGGCAACATAGATTTGCTTGTGAGATGTCAATTTACCTCTTCATAGGACCTGAAAGAAGTTCTAGTTGTGGGACAGCATCAGTCTCTGATTGAGGGAGACTTGGAGTCATGGTCAGTCAGTTTGGAGGTGGAATTATGGCCTTAGGGGCCTAAATTGACCTTTTTAAGTTGAAATAAGATTGATTTCTTGGTCCACCAGTGTGCTGATTGCTTTTTCTTCCCAATATAAATGTATACATATATATAGGTTTCTTTTGTCATTCTATTATTAATAGCATTACAATGTGGATAACACATTTATGTTAAAGGGATGCTTAATCAAATACATTGTTTTATGTGTTGGTAGTTGATACATTACATTTATAATTTAAGCTGATTTATTTACATTCTTTTCTTCTTTGTCAACTATTTTTTATTTATTTTTTCTTTTGATCCCAGTCATACAAGTCCAGGTTCCCTGAAAACTTGTGTTTATGAAGGTGTCCGGAACACATCACTTTCAAATACATCAGTGATGGATGTTAGTGAACTTCTCAGTGCTGATATTGTCTTAACATCATATGATGTCCTTAAAGAGGACTTATCACATGATTCCGATAGGCATGAAGGGGATCGCCGCTTTATGAGGTTTCAGAAGAGGTATTTTTAATAATCTTATCTCGATTCTTGTTATAACTAACCTTTATCTTGTCTCAGAATGCGCTTTATATTCTAATGTATAGAATGGAAAGTCACTGCATACAAAATAGCATATTGTTATTGCTTGCATTACATTACTTCGAGAAGTCTATAGCGTCTACAAAATATGGATTCAGTCATAAGATCGAGAATCACTTATGTTAAAGATGAGTATCATCTTGATGGCGCAACTTGAGTCTTGGACTTAAATGAGCATTTGTTTATCCATATACCAGGAATTTAATTATTTTTTATTATAATCTTTTTAATTTTATAGCTCCAATTCAAAAAGAATGTATCCACATGCACAAAGCAAGGAGTGCTTCGTCTTGCTTTCTGCTGCTCTCACCAAGGTGTTTAAGTTTGATTTCTAAAATTCCTTGTCCCTTTTAAGGATCAGGTCCATTTCTGTTTGTTTATCCTTTCCCTTTATCAGAGTGTCATTGCCACTTCCAATTAAGCATGATAACTGCAACACAATGCCATGCAAATGCATAGTTGGCTACATGAGACTTTAGCCAAGAACCTAATACCCTTTCTTTTAATAGACCTCATGCGATCATTGCAAGTGCAGTTATTATAACTTCACATCCAAGTAATTTGAAAAATTACCACCGACTTCATTCCAAGTGCAGTTATAACTTCACATCCAATTAATTTGAAAAATTACCACCGACTTCCTAACTTGAAGTGATATTTCCTATCCTATAAGAAAAATAGGTAGTGCAGGGTTAAGGTAATTTGAAGTGAACTTGCTAAAGGGCTGAGCCTTTATGGCCTTTTGTTGGAGGCGTTCAAGCCTACTTCATATACCTGATTGACAGAAATCTGAAGAAGCATAATGTGCTATATGCAGTGAATCCTCTTAACAACATTGACATTGTAATTCTAATTTTGCTGTTTCATTACGGCTTCAACATGTGGAAGAAAGATTATAGGCTGTATGGGTTGGGAAGGTGGTGAGGTTGGCAAGTTTTAAAGGTGGTTGGTTATAGGAGATTCGGAGAAAAAGCTGTCGGAATATCTGAATTGTGGCTATTTTAAGGGTTAAGGGTGTTAGGAAGAAGCAAATAGTGCAGGGAAAGGTCTAGGGTTGATTAGGGATTTGTGGGGCAATGAATGGGAAGATCTGGAACTGTGAATAGTAACTTTTGAACTGTATACCCGGTTCATTTCGGCTTTGTAGTTGTTAAAATTGAATAGCTAACCCCAAGAATGGTTGTACCTAAAATTGGTTTTTAAAGTTGAAACAAAATGGTTAACAAGGTCTGATTGCAATTATAGAAATGTAGAAAATGAAAGGAAAGAAGAAAAAGAGTAGAAGAAGTTAAGGCATCAAATCTATACTTCCATAGGTAATCGGTCAGAATTGCGCACACATTCTAAAAAAGCTTCAAATTTGTCAGGTTATTTTAAACTGATCCCTATTGAATTGAAAGAATATATAGGCTCCTGGACTTTCCTACTCCAAAGGGACTTTGACTTGAAAATAAGAAACTTAAAAATTACTTTGACTGTACAAACTCATTAACACTAACTGTAAATCATATGCTACGACCCAATTAAGTAATATGGCCTACATTAAGACCTATGGCAACACTATAGCCCAGCCCAGCCCTTCTCCACAAATTTATAAAATAACCCTTGACTGCAAAAACAAAATATATTATCCACAAAACTGAACCAACATCATATAGAGTTGTGAAACATGTTTTAGACTTGAATTAAACTAAAACTTGATTCCTAGAGGTCTTGAACCATGTGTATTAAAACGAGTCAATTTCCAAAGTTTTTATTTTCTTTGAATTTTTTCCTTTTTCTTTTAAGCTTTTTATGCACTGCATCAGAAGGTCTTTTCTTCTGTAGCCAATTGTTGTTAACTAAAAAAGGGCTTGCCCAGTGCACAAGGCTCCGCCATTGCAAGGTTTGGGAGGGTCAGATGTACACTGCCCTACCTCCACATGTGAAGGGGCTGTTTCCCGTTTCAAACCTATGACCTCCAAGTCACAATGGAGCAATCTTACCATTGAGCCAAGGCCCACCTCTCCCGACCTTAATTGTTGTTAACTATATTGGGCATTGTTTAATGTTGTGCATGACCATGCAAGCAAATTCTTCAGAGATTTCATAATTTATCAGAGATATGACACTTTTTTTTTTTTTTTTCAAAATAAATTGCAGGGTTTCTGAGAATATTTCTATTGATTAGTGGCCTTGTTGTCGCAGATATCCCGTTATTCCAACTCTGCTGACCAGAGTATTCTGGTGGAGGATTTGTTTGGACGAGGCTCAAATGGTGGAGAGTAATGCAGCAGCGGCAACAGAAATGGCCCTGCGGCTACATGCTAAGCATCGTTGGTGTATCACAGGGACTCCCATACAACGCAAGCTTGATGACTTATATGGGCTCTTGAGTTTCCTTAAAGCAAGTCCTTTTGATGTCCTTAGGTGGTGGATTGAAGTTATACGAGATCCATATGAGGTATGAGGTTCGCTATGTTTTATTTCCTGATATCTGTGGCTTGCAAGTGACTTTTGAAAGCTTTGAATGCTAACGTAGAGAAGGGAAGTAGCTTCACCTACAAAAGGAAAAAGAGAAGGGAAATATTGCAAATGTTTGTATAATTTGATATATACACACACACATATAATATATTCGCAATTCCTTATGGTAGATCTGTCACAGCATTTGTGGGTGCAGTAGTGGGTGCGTGTAATGTGAATATCTAGATTTGATGGTGTCTGCCTGTGTCCATTGATGTTGATTCCTAAGGAATGTAACTGGATAAGTAGCATTTCTCAGCTTTGATGGATATATTGGTCATGTTTGTAATTGGCTCCTACCGAGGTTTTACTAGGAAGAGCTATTGGTATCTTTTTATACATGATACATTTTAAAGACAATTGCATGCAATACATGCCCAATTCTACTTTATTGTTTTGCAAGAATACCTTGACTCATGTTTACATTTCCTGTTTGTTGCGTGCTTCGTGCCTAGACTTGCATTGCTTTCATGTAATTTTTTATAGCATCCACGGGCCTTTCAATGATACCTCAATAATGTTTGATCTGCAACCAGTATTCTCTCTCTAAATATGGATTGTCCCGCTCTAGTGGGTTTAGGAAGGCTTTCTAAAGATACATATCTTTGCATTGCCTATATACTATTTGACCTTAACTTTGCAGAGGGAAGATGCAGGAGCTATGGGATTCACACATAACTTCTTTAAACAAATAATGTGGCGTTCCTCTAAAGAACACGTAGCAGAAGAGTTACAGCTTCCTCCTCAGGAGGAGAGCCTCTCTTTCCTTTCTTTCTCAGCAATTGAAGAGCATTTTTATCAGAGGCAGCATGAAACTTGTGTGAACTACGCTAGTGAAGTTATTCAGAGTCTCAAAAATGATATTCTCAAACGAGAAGTTGCAGGTTATTTGATAAATTTTGCTACTTCATCTGTGAGTTGGTGAAACGCAATATACAAATTCGAAGCAGGAATAGCAATTTTTGGGTCTTACAATAGTTTCAACTCACTCTCCAGGTTCCATCTCATCTGTTGTTCCATCCGATCCTTTTATTACCCATGTGGAGGCTGCAAAGCTGTTGAACTCGCTCTTGAAGCTTCGCCAAGCCTGCTGCCATCCTCAAGTGGGAAGTTCTGGGTTGCGTTCTTTGCAACAGTCTCCCATGACCATGGAGGAGATATTATCGGTGGGTTTCGCACAAAAAGCTTTTGGGTCTAATGTCTGATATTTCTTACAAATTGTATGCATGTGTGTACATATATATATAGCCAATTGGTTATTCCTGTTACAAGGGATATTGTTTTGTAGGTTCTTGTTGGTAAGACCAAGGTAGAAGGGGAGGAGTCACTCAGGAAAGCAGTTGTTGCATTGAATGGGCTTGCAGCAATAGCTATAATTAAGCAAGATTTTTCTCAAGCAGTATCTTTGTACAAAGAAGCACTAGCTTTAGCTGAAGAGCACTCTGAAGATTTCCGCTTGGACCCTTTGTTGAACGTTCACATTCATTATAATCTTGCTGAGATACTCCCTATGGCTTCAGACTATTCACTATGTTCCCATTCAAATGGGCAGTTACCTGAAAGCTCTGAAGTTAAGTCCTCCAGGATGTGTGGTATTCATTACACGGTGAAGAGAAAGAAAGTGACTAGGGAAGGCTCATCAAATATGACTATTGATGCTGAGAATTTACCTGAGTTTACTTCTTACCCACCATCAAATGGGTTAAATGGTGACAAAAATTGTGATGACGAGCCTCGCATATTATCTAAATTTTCTAGTGGTGGACATTTAAGTATGGCATGTGAGAATCTAAAGCAGAAGTTTTTATCTGTGTTTAATTCAAAGCTGTCCTTGGCTGGACAAGAGTTCAGAAAGTCACATGAGCAGGTAATACTTCCAAGCTGTCCCATGTGCATGTGAAAAACTATCTTAGTACTCTAATTATGAACAGTATGCATGATATGTCTTGTATCACATGCTATGAATGCAAAAGCATACAAAAACATACCCTCAAGTTAAAAATATCCATCTATGTATATGCATGATATGTCTTGTATCAAAACACACCCTTGTATCACATCGTAATATTCTGAGATGCAACATATCGTGCATATCATAGAAGTAATATCTGTACAAAAGAGTTGTTATGGTTTATCTATAATGCATTATTTATACACTTCTAACATGACATTAACTAAAACCATGCAATACTATTGATCAAAGTAATTACTATGCCCACTGCTAACCTTATTCTATAATGATGTCAGTATTGCACTCTATCTACCTTATTTTACATTGATCTCATTTATTTAATTCCATCTTTAGAATTTTGAAGTTTAAGTTTCGAAATAGTTGAAACTTTATGGTTGCATTTCTTTTTCTCTTTTACCTTTGATTTCTGTTCAATATATTTGTTTCTGAATTCCCTTCTAGTATTTGATTCTGTGATGCTGTTCCTTGTTTTTCTCTTGTACTTATTTTGAAGGTTTCTAATGCACTTACGGAGAGAAAAAATCAGCATACAGCTTGGTGGTTCGAAACCCTTCATGATATTGAGCAAAATAAGGACTCCTCAAGTGAGCTGATCAGAAAGATTGAAGAAGCTGTGTCCGGGACTCTAAATATTTCTAGAACATCAAGAATCGCATCATGGTTAGTGATGGTTTTAGTTCTCAGTTCATAGTTTTATATTGTAATTCGTTAATCCCTCATTACAAACTACCCTGGCAAATGAGCATATCTTGGCTACTTTTGTTTTGGTTGAGGAAAAAGCACAACTTGTTGCCTCTTGCGAGTTGTTTTTTTCTAGTGAAACATCTGCTTAGGTGCTTTTAATAAACCAGAATGCCATTATGCCATTATAATATGACAATTCCTTTTGGAGTGAATCAGTGCTTATTCCCTTGATTATAGAAGCCAATTTAAATAGGCAGTTCAGCTTGCCGTATTATTGTTTGTTGTTAGTACGATTAAGTGTTATCCATTACCTAATTTAAAATGGAATAACTAATGATCAAATCCCACAAAGATCAACTAGTTCTATCAATGTGCAAGGGATACCCACCATCTACTTGTAATTTGTTTGTATGATCTAGTTGAGACTTAGCTTCCATCACCACAATTTTTAGTTTAGTACGAGATATAGTGATGTTCAATATATGTTTCTTTTTGTTGAAGGATTCCCCCCACCCCCCTGCTGTCTTGCTTATTATATTTGGAATATTATTCATGCTTTGAACTGGGTAATGGCCCTTTGTTCCTGTTTCCATATCAAGAAAAATATCAGTAAAATGTATCACAGTTTGATTGTTTTGTAAATTTGTTCCATACCATTCATGATATGACAGTACCTGTAAGACATATATATGGAGTATCCTACCTTTTGTAATTTTAAGAAAATTCATTTGTCATGGTAGAAACTAATATCTAAGAACTATTTTGTTTGGAACTCCTAATGATTTGAATGCAATTGTTCTATAATTCTATTCTAATTGAATATCTTAAACGTGGAAAACACTTTAAAATGAGGCAGTCATATCATATGATGACTACAAAGATGACTACAAATGAGTTAACAAATATCAAAAGTGCTTAACCTAATTTAAGATCCTTACTGATCAATACCACATTTAAATGCATAGATTGCATAGGTATATGATGTAGGTGCTGATAACCTGATACTGTATCATGAAGTATGAAGATAAAGCAAACTCATTTTTTGATGAAAACAGCATGAATCCTTTTCATGCTCAGATTATAGTAATATTTACTAAAGATTGAAGTGCGAAGTAGTGAAGTACATCTCAAAAAATGAGGGCAAATCCTCTTTTTCTCCCTTTCTTTTTTTTGATAAGTAAAAAATATATTAGAAAAACGTTCAAAAGGGGAACACGTCCCTAATACACAAAAACGAAAAAGCAAAAGCCAAACCTACGGACCAACAGAGTCCAATAGAACAAAAAAATCATCAATCGAGGAGCAAGCGCTGCCTCTAACATAACAGAAAAGAGAGCGAAGAATAAGAGACTTAAGGTTTGCAAAAGACGATTCCTTTCCTTAAATTTTTTTTGTTATTTCTCTCTCTCCAAATACACCACCAAACACAGTGTGGGGCGACCCTTCAAAAATCACGAGCATGACCAGTAACAGGGCATCTTCTCCAAGCGTTAATTAATTGGAAAGACTGCTTAGGCATTACCCACTAAACACCAAAAATACGGAAAAAATAAAATTTTCTTAAACCATGTACACACAATGTATAAAGTGAAAAAGCTGTACATTCCTATTAGGAGCACAAGGATCTAGGTTCTTCGCAAAAGCACAAAAGATTCCAAGGGAAGGATTCACCCTTTATGTCTCCCAATTATTACTGTGTATCAACAGATATGTAGGAGCTCATCTGGTTGATTGAGATGCCTGCATTACTATATTCAGTTTCTCTAGGATTGTATTTGAGGACCTTGGAGAGCTGTAGACTTCAATAGAGAAGACAATTTGAGATGGATGATTGGAGTAATGGAAAAGACATGGAGAAATTAGGAGTGGCACCTATTAGCAATAAATAAGAGAAACTAAACTTAGGGACGTATACAACATTGATCAGTAGTTGCACGGTTGCACCAACAAGAAAGAAATTCTAGTTCGAATAAAATGTAGTAGGAAAAAAGGTGGACCAAAACTAACATAGTATGAAGTAATAAGGAAAGACTTCTAAAAATTAAATTTAAGCGGAATACATAGCTGGTATTGGAATAGACTTTAAGAAGAGAATTCATGTGCCAACCCCATTCAATAGGAATCAAGGAACGGACGATGACGATGACAAGGAGTTATGTTCATGATGATTCGATTTTAGCTGCCCCAGAAAAAAATAAAGACGTTGACACACACCAGTGTATGCTAAATACCATCATTATTCTTGTTGGTTGGTCAACTGTATTTGAAGCAGATGGCTGACATTGTTGTTTTATGGGTAGGCTTACTCATAGTATTCCATACTGATTTGTGTAGTAACTCGGAGTATTATACAAAGGTGAAAGCTGAAAAAGCCTAGCTTAAACTTTTTGAAAGAATGTATCAGTTCATTATTATCTGAATTGAATTTTATATTACACATACTAATTTATTTCTGTTCTTTATCCAGCTTTCGGAGCATAACTACTCTAAAGTACTATATCCAGACTGGTTTGGATTTATTGGAAGACTCTAGGAAGAAATTAGTTGATAGACTTTTGGAAATTGACCAGACTATGGGAAATCCTAGATTAGAGGATATTGAACGTGTCAGATACTGTCCAAACTGCCAGCCTAATGGAGATGGTCCAATCTGTGTTCACTGTGAACTCGACGAACTATTTCAGGTTTTATATTCAAACTTCTTGCTGACTGGATGTTTGTCTATGCATTGAGATTTTGTTGCATAGGATTTGGATTTTCATTTCATCTCCCCACACTTTTATTTAGGTTTATGAGGCCAGGCTCTTCCGTCTTAACAAAGGACATGATGGAGGGGTGATTATATCTGCTGAGGAAGCAGTAGATCTGCAGAAAAAGAAGTCTGCTTTGAATCGTTTCTATTGGACTTTATCGAAGCCTGATAAAAATTCAACTTCATCCAGTGTAAGATATGAAGACAATGGAAGAAAGAGGGATGTCGGCGAGAAAGTAGTGGTAACTTTTCTCACCTTTTTGTGACAAGGTGTTATAATTTTATTTGTGCATTTTGTTTATAGTTTATGAAATTCGGGAAAACTATAACTTGTTCAGACCTTGGGAGCAGTTTGCTGTCTTGTAGTAATGATCATGAATATAACGCAGGTTATGCAGCTGAATTACTGGTTCAATTGCAGTTATCAATTCAATTAACACACTAGGGATTTGTATCTCATTCTGTTGATTATTGTGATTGAATGATTGTGAGGACTGAGTGCAGCTTCTTATCATTTTATTTTCCCCAAGTAAACAGCTTCTTATCATTCTGTGCCAGCTATTGCCTTCATTTAATTGACTTCTTTTTTTTTTTTTTCCTTTTCCTTTTTAATGCTTTTTGTATACCTTGGTAGTTATTTCGGACAGCAATTATACCCTTAATATATTTTACTTGATTTTGAGAACTAGTGCATGTTAAATCATGTAGGCGAAAGATATTTAATCCTGGGAAGTTTAATTACTACATAAGATATGGAAAGAGACACTTTCTGTAATGTTTATGACCATGTCTCTGCCTCACATAAAACTGTCAGTTTTTTCTTCATTGCCCAATGAAAAATATTATTGTCATGTTCAAACTCCATGATCTAAGATCAGACCAGCATACGTTTAGTCTACTGACTGAAAGTTCCCTTGGCATCAGGGACCTAAGATTAGAGCAGAATCTATTAACTCTATTGCCTTTATACTCTTCAGAAATGCTTGTTGGGCCCCCCCACATGCCTTCAGCATTCCTAGTTTTGATGTTGTGCTGATATTTCTCAACATTTCTAGTTATCACCAATATTTGAATGTAGGTGATCCAAAAGAGAAGTTATATGACTTGTGACATTCTTCTATAACATTCTCATGCTGATGAGATCTGTTGATAGGTATCAAAATCTCCCTCAGAACTAGAAGTCGTTCTTGGAATTATAAGGAGCTACTGCAAGGCTTTTTTAGGTAGAGATGGCTCGTTAGCAGCCACAAAACAGCTTCTTCTTCTTGAGGTATGGTTAGATAAATTCTTTTTAGATTAATAGCAATCATTAGTTGCCACCAGACATTTTTTTTTTTGGAATTAAATTTTTATTTTTCATCAGAAAACAGTATAGTCAGTTAATAGAAATGATTTTGCCCTATATTTTGATATTATAATTATTTATTTGCAGTAGAAGAAATAATGAACATGAGAAACAGGAGTAGTCCTTCATAAAATGCTTTCAGAAAGAAAACTAGCAACGTCGTCCTCATTTACTCCTCATTGTGTTGTCATGCTAATTTCCTTATCCAAATTTTATGCCTGCATGCATGCCTCTTTTGACTAGAAAATTCACTCCCCCCCTTCTCCTTTTAACTTGGTTAAGGGAATGCGGAAGGAGTATGCACAAGCGAGGTCATTAGCGATTGCTCAAGCTCAAGTTTTACGTGCTCATGATGAAATAAAGATGGCAACTTCACGATTGAGACTAAGAGAGAATGAGGATGATAACTCTATTGATGCCTTGAGTCCTGGAGAACTAGATGCAGCAGATGCTGAAAATTCTAGTGATAAATTCCTGGCCTTAAACTCATTATCACGTATAAAAGGACAACTTCGATATTTGAAGGTAACAATGCAAAGCCTTAATGATTTTACCTTCTGCCAATTTTAGTTTTTCACATGTTATATGCTCAATATCAGTTTCTGGAAATCACAATAGTGAGTTTATTGAGATGGATTTAAACTGAATTAAAACTAAATGGGCTTTTTGCCATACATTATGGTGAAATAAAAGTTTGTTCTTGACTTCAAGTTCAAGATTTCTGTTGGGCTAATACAGCTGGATAAAATGCATCTGAGCTTCACGTTAAACAGTCTGATCTCCACATTGTCATTGCTGTATGGAAAGAACCTAATCATTTGTTGCTAATGCTAAAATGACTTGATGTTACTTGAATTTAACCACAGATTCAGGTTTCTTTTACCTTTTTTTTTCTCTCCCACAATTGTTGTTTTTGGTCCAACCTACTAGAATTGCTTATTCAACGTGTAGTTCTATGACTTTTGTATGGAATCAAGGAATTATAAGAAAGCTTGGGGGTCCAATAGATGGACTGGGCCCGTTTGTAGTTGAATGGGTATGTTCCTAGTCCTTGAAGCCCGACCTTACCCTGCCCCAAATTGAGTCTGAGTAGGTCCAGTCAATGGCCCATGAAAGTCCAGTTCATTTGCTGTGCTTATATTTTTTGTTTTTTTATTTAGTGATGTTAACAGATGAAGTTTTAGCTGAGTGTTTGAGTATTAGACTGCTTCCTGGGAAGTTCAAGGGTTCAAACCCCACTAACCTCATTTCATTGATTATTTATTTTTATTTATTTATTTATTTATTTTTGTGTGTGTGTGTGTGTGTTGTTGGGGGAGAGAGAGAAATTCAAATCGGGCCTGTTGACGTGAGCCTGAGTGGGCCAAAGATTTGACCCATCTACGATCCATACCTTACTGCTTTCATGTTCTTTTTATTTAATTGTAATTGTAATTTGTAATTTCGAGTTCCTGCATTTCTGAAGTGTTCAAATACTGTATCCTTTTGATATTACTTTCTGCTGCCTGTCTGTCTGAACTTCTATTGTTTATTGTTGTATCGTAGCTGACAGATAATCAGAGTTGTCATAATTATGTGCTTCCAGTTTTACACTACCTGCTCTTCTAAGGATTTGGATCCTCTCCAGCGGGATCTCTCTGCTGAATTCCCTAAACCTGGATCTGACGGTTATAAAAGTCCCACGACACTTAACATCACTACCTCTATTTTGGACCAAACGGCAACCAAATGTTAAAGGAAATTTCCCTTCTTTGTGCTTTGATCTTTCCAAAATTTCCCTGCTCTATGCTTTGATCTCTCCTAAGTTTCCCTGCTCTATACTTAAATCTTTCCTAAATTTCCCTTGCTTTATTCTTCGATCTCTCTCAATCTTCTCTGCTTCACTAGGTTGTCATCCACCGGAAGAACCCTATCTCTTCTCTTTCGTTCGCCATCAATACCAATGCCGTGAATAGATCTCTAGAGGTTGATTGAATTTTTTTGAGGGTTCTGGTTGCCTTGAAGATTTGAGGGATGCTGTTAAACAATACTTTGTTGAGACAGACAAGAAGAATTTGTGTTGCATAAATTTACAACATTTTTATAAGTTTTGATGCATCAGTTTGCATATTTTCATCCCTACCAGATATTTAGATTGGATGAAACCCAAAATGGATGGACATAAATGGGCAGGAAGTTCTGCATTTTTTTTGCTTCACAAGTAGAAGAAGAAGAACACCACCAACTTGTTGGGCACAGTGAAAGGCTCCGACGAATCCTCGAACAAGTTGATTTGGATGGTGGTGAATATCTAGGTTGCAAATTGGTGACGGATTGGTAAGCATTGTAGACCAGAACCTCTACAAACCCTAAAGTGAGAACACCTCAAATGCCTTTCGCACGCTTGGAGAGCCATAGCAGCCGATTCAGATCGCTGATGCCTTTTTTTTCTTCTCTCACTATCTCGTCGGCTATTTCGTCGGTCGGCCAATCAAAGCAGAGAGATCAAAGCAGACTGCTGAGTTCAGATGGGTCTTCCGTTAACGTTTCTGAAAATAATTTGGTTGCCATTTAGTCCCATGTTAAGTGGATTCTTAGATGATTTTTCTTTTCTTTTCTTTTTTATTTATTTATTTTTATTTATTTTTTTTATTTTTAATGTAGTGGATTACTTAGATGATGTGGCACTTTTATAACCTTTAGATCTAGTTTTATGAAATTCAGCAGAGAGATCCCGCCGGAGAGGATCCTAATCCCTCTTCTAATCATTAGGGAAATACATCTATCTCCAATCCCAGCTTTATCGAAAATGGGAGATTTTTTAAAATCTCAACTACCTGCCAAATATATGAATTTATATACCGCAGTGGGATTGGGACCACTTCATGGTCGTATCTTCCATATTGTTATATTTTAGATTGTTAGAATATTAGCTTTTTCCTTAATTAATTTGAGCAATCCTGTAGAATATTCAATCAAACAGGCTAACCATTTAAGTTTTTTTTTTTCCCTCAGGGTTTGGTACAATCTAAACAAAAACCACCACTGGAGAGCCCAAATAAGTCATCCTTAACCCAAGTGACAGATGTCTCTCTGACTTCTGAAGGTGGAGAAAACCATTACCTGGTTAAAGCTGATGAGGAAGCATGCCCAGTTTGTCAAGAAAAGCTCAGCAACCAAAAAATGGTTTTTCAATGTGGCCATGTTACTTGCTGTAGATGTGAGTTTCTTGTCATTTATATATCTCTCTATTGTTTGTTCTTGACCCTGCTCCAAATGCCATATGGATGGCAGAACAGAATCATGTTGTCGTGTTGAGCTTTAGTTGGGGCAGTACCTGCACTGCAAAAAGGATCAAGTGTGTGTATATATATATGTGTGTGTAATTAATATACACATTTTTTCTTCTAAAACACACCCTGAGCCTAAAATGGCAACTGGGTGGGCTTGGGATGGGTTTCCCAAAACCCTAACCCACCCTTTTTAACAGTACTTAGTCCCATACCCGTCTGGAACCTGGGACAGTTTTGAACTTCGTATCCCATTCCAGTTTACAAACAGCACTCACAGCCCTGTTCCCATCCTGTCCCGTTAATAGAGAAAAAATTTATATATATCTACAGTACAAGCCCTAATTATAAATACACAAATCTATATGTGTGTATATATAAATGTACAATATAAAGGACTAACCGTATAAAGGAGGACATCACAGACCGGAGGAAAGGAAATCGCTGATCGGAAGAGGAGACAAAGTACCATTGCTGACTGTAGAAGCCAGCGGATTTGATGAATGACGAAGAAGAAACGATGGATGAGTTGGAGGGGCGGATGTGGGGAGAAGACAAGGAGCATCAGTACTCTTGTAGAGCCATTGGCAGATGAGGAGAGGAACGGAAAGCAGAAGGCAGCAACGGGACAGTGGGAGTGAGGGAGGGGTGGGGCAGAATATTCACAAACATGATCCCACCTCCCGAACCCGGATCGGATTTAAATACTTAACCCAAACCTGCCATTTTATACTTCACCATACCTGCCCATTCGGGGCGGGTGCAGGAAGCTGCCAAGTGGGAACAAATTGCCAACCCTATCTAAACCATCATATTACATAAACATCATAGGTTTAAGGTTTTTCTATTGAACCCAGGATACAATATTCTCTCATTATACTGGATGAAGATTTCAAAAATTCTATGATTTTACTAGCGACCTGTACTTGAGGGTTCATTGAAGACCATAGCCAACATAGATTTGCTGTTGCTTTGGAACTATTTCTTAGGCTAAGCTTTCAACATAGATTTACTGCTGATTATTCCTGATAAAAATACAATAACATAAATGCTTTGACCGTCTCAAGAACCTTTTTCTAGTTTTTGTTTTTTTGTCTTAGTGATAGTATGGCACTTTAAGCATTGTTTATGGCTTAATGAGTAGAATTGAAAATGGCCTTTGGCCTTTTTATTCTCTAACAATCAAGTCACCAACATATAGCTCATGTGCAAATAGAGATTCCTTGGGAAGGGATGAGCTAATTGTGCTTTATATGGCTCAGGAATCAGGACATGTGGGTAAAGTGAATTTCTTTCAAAGGACCTTGTGCATTATATGTTGTTTCAGTGTTGAATTATTTCATGTTTTCACTGTGAATGAAATTATATCTCATCTCAATGAAGCCTCTTTCATCTTCATTGATCAAATCCTTAACTTCATCTGTTGAATAGGATGTATTTAATCACTAATGGCATTGGATTTTTCTCTTTTTAAGCAACTCAATTTCGGCGGAAGGTTTTTTTTATTTTTTATTTTTTTATATGATCATTTTTTTATGCTTGATAATGCGTTGCAAATTGGTTGGATTTCTTACAATAAAAATTCATTTGGATGCCACTTCTATGATTATTCTTGCAGGTTTTTTTGCAATTACGGAACAAAGACTAGCTCATCATGGCAAGTATCATCATAAATGGGTGATGTGCCCAACATGTCGACAACATACTGATTTTGGGAATATTGCTTATGCCGATGACAGACAAAATACATTATGCAGTTCTTTTCAAGGTTGTGAAAGCTCTGAAGCTTCTGTAACTGTTCAAGGTTCATATGGAACAAAGGTGCTCTTATTGTCCAATGCTTTAATTAATTTATACATAAGCAATTGTAAGTGCTTGCACACATACTTGTTTGTTTTCATTATCACATTAGGTTGTCTGTGCACAGTTGGTTTACCTCCAGATGGTCATTTCTATGTTCCCTTAGGTTCTCTATGTCAACTTTTATGCCAACCATAATTCCTGATGTTTGGCTTGCGTGCTCGGCGAAGATTTGTTTCATTATGGCATATTATATTATAATATGTGTGCTTTTTAGTTATCATGGAAGCCTGCTTTAGTTCTAATTAACTTGTACATAATCATAAGTTCATGCTTTTTTATTAACTAGATATTTCATATGCATCAATTTTTCTTTTCATTTTCTCCCCTCCATGATACGTAGCTTATATATCAGTCCCACGTTCCTCTATGAATTAATTTGCCATTTATTTCAACGTCATTTAGAACAAGAAGTCCTAAAATTATCATTATGTTTATTATTTATTTATTTATGTCAATGGGTGTATTTTTTTTTTTTTTTTTTTTTTTAATAATTTGAAGATTGAAGCAGTCACAAGGAGAATCCTCCAGATCAAATCTACAGATCCAAAAGCAAAAATTCTTGTTTTCTCCAGTTGGAATGACGTCCTTGATGTGTTGGAACATGCATTCACAGCGAATGCAATAAGTTTTATCCGGATGAAAGGAGGCAGGTAAGAGTTTGTTAATAGTTTTCATGGTACGTTTGTTTGTGTTGGCTTTGCTTATAATTGCTTAGATAATCATTATGACCCTAAGGATGATATAAAGAACTTTAAAGAAAGAGAGAAAATATATATAAAAAACTTGTCAGTCCCGATAAATCCTAGATTAATCTAACTTAATTGTAAGTCTATAATTAAATAAAACCCTACATGAGAGCACCTTATAATTTGACATATTGTTATGCGGTGATATTACATCTCTCTCTCATTTATACTGTTTTCCATTTGATGTTCACCAATAGTTTTTCTTAAATTGTAAAATATGTTGATCTCGCCCTTGATTAAGATTTTTACATGCTTATAATGTGATTGTCTTATACAGTCCGTGTGCAAAATTGTTGTATTTGCTTCTGTTATTGTGATTGGTAGACGGTGGTTGAAAGGATGGAAGGCTGGGAGTCAAATGTACCTCTGGCGGATCAAAGTGAATAGAATGACTGCAATCCGAAGATTTAAGAATGCTATCAGAATGTTGAATAAGGTCATCGTTATGATCAAGAATCTATGCCAACCTTGATCGCAAAATCTGTCACATAACCGGATAAAAACCATAAGTGGGAACCCTCACCACCACTAACCAAAAATAATTAAAGGGAAACACCCTACCTTCCTTGGGAAAAGAGACCCCAGCCGTCCCTGCCAAATATCTTAGTCACCATGGTAGGTTGGTCGTGGAGAACGAATAGCTCGATAGAATGAATTTCTAAGCAAACAAGTTTTGTAGAAGTGCATATGGAAAACATAAATGAAAAACAGAAATCAAAATATAATAATTTCCTGGGTTAGCAAATCAAAGCATCTCAAATGTTCTAGATTATTTTCAATTTTCAACATCAATTGAATAAGATAAGAGATACAATTATGTGCTTTTCCTTCTTGATGCAGAAGGTTTTGATGGGTTGCGTCAAAACAATTTGCCGTATCTTATGTATATAAATTGTGTGGTCTATTTCATTTGTTCCTGTAGAATACTGACGATTATCTGAAGTTGTTACACATGCATAAGATTGTACCTAGTTTTGTTCTATTCTTCCTGAATTAGTCTATAAGCAATTGGCTTTACTCTTCTGATATATATCAATGTTATGGTTCACTAATTTTTACAGTTATTGGAATCCTAGGACTACAGAATACTTGATGATCATTGTTCACTTCTGAAATTTACGCTGCTATTGGTCATGTATTGAAACTACAGGAAATCACAAGTTGCTATCAGCCACTTTAAAGGACAGGAAAGCGGTGCAAAAAGAAGTGGCAAGATTCGTGACCGGCGGCCAGAAACCAAATTTGTTCAAGTGCTGCTGTTATTAATTCAACATGGAGCCAATGGCCTCAATCTTTTGGAAGCACAGCATGTTATTCTTGTAGAGCCATTACTCAACCCTGCAGCTGAAGCACAAGCAATTGGCCGGGTGCACCGAATTGGACAGGAGAATAAGACACTGGTTCATCGTTTCATAGTACGTGATTTTCCCATTTGTGCATTATTACGTTTAGTTTTTAGTCAAGAATGCAATAACTACATAATGACTGTTTTGTGGCATGCGGGCATGTTAGCCTCACTTATTCATTTAGAAGTATAAATCTTACTGCATTTATTTCCTGCTCTGTAAATCACACACATACCCATTTTTTTGTCCCATTGGGGAGGAGATTCCACTTGAATTAAGCCCTAGGTGGTCAAATTGCATTTTTCATAGATATACATGCGTTTAGGATTGATTTTTTTTTTTTTCTTTTTGTTCGTTATTTTGGATTGTAGGTGAAAGGAACAGTTGAAGAAAGCATATATAAACTAAATAAAAGCAGGAATACAAATACAAGTTCTTTCATCAGTGGAAACACAAAGAATCAAGATCAGCCTGTTTTGACACTTAAAGATTTGGAGTCCCTATTTTCAGCAACGCGCTCCACCATAACAGATAGTGAAGAAAAGCCAACCGGAAGCTTAATGCATTTGCCACCTTCTGAAGCTGCTGTCCTGGCTGCTGAAAGAAGACTAACGGAGCACAAGTCGTGATATAATGCATTCATTTTTGCCCCCTTTTCTTCACTGCCGGTAGAGCTGTGGAGACAACAATGAACAGAGCATAGAGCATGAAGTTATACATGTCTATTCGAAGATGAGCTCCTTCTGTAACATGGTAACGAGAGATTCAGAATGGAAGCATCAATTCTAATGACCAGCTCGAACACGTGCATGATACGAGATGAGAGCGGTCCCACATCATCCGTAGGTCACCCGGTGAATAAATTTTTTCTTGTACATATGTGTATCACTAAATTTGTTTATATCTAACGGTGAGACCACCATTTTTTTGAGTTGTTCTGATTGATTCTGTGCATTAGTAGAATTTAAATTACAATTCACAGATTTTAATTCCTTTCATGTGTAGGAGTCAACTTACTTTCTGCTTTGAAAAGTATATTCTTTAAATGAATAAATAGTACTACCAATTGCTATTGTAAATTTCTCATTCAATTAATATTCCATCCTTAGTACAGTTGAACGAAATTTCTTCTAATTGTAATTTCAGGTACTTCCAAACATAGGAGGAACTCGAAGCTCCACTTACAGTGTACTAAGGTGTTATTTGATTAAATTGAAAATTACAGTATTTTTTTTTATTTTCAACAATGAATAATATTTAGTCACTTAAATTTTGAGTTTGTATTTTTTTTTTTAGTTTGTTGAATTGAGTTATCAAGAAGTTTGGTGATTTAGTGTTTCGTGAAATATTATTTCAGGTTTAAATTTTTCGAACATAATTTGAATTTTATTTGATTTGTATAAAAAAGTTGGTTTGAACTGTCCCGTAACATAATCGAAAAAAACTGTCCACTTAATATAGATTTTGTCCGCAGAAAGAAAAAGACTAAACACCAGTAACTTTTGACTATTTTTCTGTTCGATCAAAATCATGAAACGGGTGATGACATAAGGATGTTTAAAATCTCTCACTGCTATTGTCACTGGTGACATCACGACGCGCAAGGTGGGACCACCATATCTTCTTGATACATTATGTACTGTCTTACACGTGGCTATCTCCTTGTCACGTGGCATTTTGAAAATTCTGTTGACACGTGGCACAGTTGCGGAGTGGGTTAGTGGTGGGTTTAAAAATCGAACTTGGTATCCAAACTTGTATAAATAGGTCAACACACCACATGCCCAAACCAGCACAAGCATTACCATACCATGGAGGCCTCTTGTTTTCACATCAAAACACGCTACTTTTTTCCCTCTCTCTCAGCGCCCAAAACCAGACATTCATCCATTTTGTCACAACCAATTCCTCCAACACATCAGTCTTCCACCGGGCGATCGCAGCTCACGACGACTCCGGTCATCGCGCACAGGCACAGAGTGTTCCAAGGGATGTCCAGCGGAGGAATTGGAGGGTGAGATGGAGTTGGATGAAGAGGAATGGAAGGGAATTGAGTGGAAGTGGATAGACAAGTGCAAAGGGAGGGGAATAGTGGAGTTGTTGGAGTGTTTGGAAAGAGAAGCAATCATGGGGGAGGATGAAGGTAGAGAGCCTGCTGATTACAGTAGAAGGGCTCAAATCTTTGATAGAAGTTCCAGAGTCTTCCAGGCTCTCAAGGGAAAAAATACCTCCTCTTATACTTCTTGATTTCTACACCATGTACAAAACTACCCCTACATACACACACACACATCAAAGCAGAGCTTAGCTAAATAAAATATCCCAATTCCCCTTCTTGTAACTCATTTTGTATAATAATAGCTATTGAAATTGAGTGTTTGACGTATAAAGTAATTAGTAATCATATCTTATACCAAGACAGTTTTCTTCCATTCATGTTCTTGGTAGTAAATGTCTTGATAATGATAACATCAGTGGTGTTATACAGTTTCAAATATTTGGTTGGGTATAAGTTCCAATTATCAAAGGCCCAAGGTGCATTAAGGCTCGCAAAATAGAAAAAATTAAATTATTATTCAAGTATTAATATTGTATATGAAAATATTGTCAAAAGGGCACCTTGACAGTTGTGCTTGTACGAGTCTGGAGTCCAGGACTTCGACACACGACAGTTGCGCCTGTATGAGTCTGGAGCCCAGGACCTCAACACACGACAATTGCGCCTTGACAGTTGTGCTTGTATGAGTCTGGAGTCCAGGACTTCGACACACAACAGTTGCGCCTGTACGAGTCTGGAGCCCAGGACCTCAACACACGACAGTTGCACCTGTATGAGTCTGGAGCCTAGGAGCGCGCCTTTGACAACACCGTATAACATAGAAACAGAGACATTTTCACTATTATACATATAGAACTTTCAGCAGCAGCAACAAAAATTCAAACCAAGGAGAGACAAAAGCCATCAATTTGTACTTGTTTATTGACAAAGGAACTGACTATATCAAAGCAAGATGTTATCTCCAACAATAAATTAGTTCTAACCCTTCCTACACGTAAATTAAACTTGGTTTCTGCAAAACTGAGTTGTAGCTACCAAGTTTATAATGAACCGTGACAAGAAGGGTACCTTCAGAGTTCAAACATGGTGAGACCTGAGCTTCTAAAAGAACTCTTTAACAGAACTTCCAACGGTTATTGCAAGTTACACAAACTACAAATGTTGTCATAGGTTCATCAGCACTCCGAATCTGCGCCTGGTTGTACGTAGTGTTATTTTTCCCACACCGTCTACACCTGAATTCTGTAGTGGTGGCTTTTGGAGCGTCATCTCGCTGGCACTCAAACAAAGCTTTTTCTTTGATCTTCTCATTCTCAAGTTGTCTTTGGTAGCTTGCCATTTCTTCTGGGCTCATTTCCGGGATCCTTTCTGGCTTGACATCTCCGAGGAGAACTTTTCTCCGGAAATCAGTGTTTTTTGGATCCTTGATGTTGAACATTATGGATCGGTATTTGAACTTCTGGGTACCATTAGACCGTCCCCATTTCTCAAACAATGAGGACTCCACTGCAACAGCAACTCGAAAAGGGTCACAAGCATTCACTTCATCCCTGAGATCTTCATCAGCCTCACCAGAAACTTTGCACAAAGCCTCCGAAAGTAGTTCCCGGACTTTGTTCCGTAAGGCATCGTTACATTTAATCACAGAAGTCAGCTTTGGGGAAGCAACAGGGACAGACGACTTTATAGCCTTCTCAGAATTCAGTGTACCACTCCAATCATTTTTCTCAAGTTTCACAGCTTCAACCTTCTTAACCTTCATGGATTTCGCCTCATGAACCGTCTTGGTCTCAATCATCTCTGCACATGCAGGCTTAGCTTCCACAGAGTCTTTATATTCTAAGCTACCAGTTTTCTTGTTCTTGATTGTTTCTTCAGTGATAATATTTCTCCATAACTCAATCAAGTTTGAAGCCAAAGCTTGGATCCTCCTCCTAGGATGTTTTGTCAGATATCGAAGACGTTTCCCAACCTGAAAACAGAAAAAGAAAAAAGAAAAAAAAAATTATATCAACAACTAAAAACGAAAAGAAAAAGTAATCTGGAATTTGGTTTTTTGCTAGTGAATAAATAATGTGCCCCATGGTATGGAACCTTTCCCGTAATGCTAGATCAAGAATCATCTGATGGACATATACACGAAGTACTAAATCAAAGACAAAAAAAAAAAAAAAAAAAAAAAAAAAAAAAAAAAAAAAAAAAAGAGCATCTTACATCACCTCTACTAAATGTATCTATACATAAATGAAGTCATTATGCCAACCACTCAGTCTCTAAGAGCTAGATGTGGGGATGGAACAATCAAAAAACTATTATCCCAAACACAAGGAAAATCATATTTTGATTCTATAAATCAGTATAACAAAGAAAACAAAAATGACAATGAAGTAAAATACCCTTACGAAATAATGTTTCAAAGTATTAGGAACTTGTTTATCTGTGCATCCCATTCAACCAAGAATCATTATAGGAGAACATATAAAAAATGATAAATAAAAATAACGGCATTATGTTACAAGTAGCAATTTCTTCTTGTAATCTCCTTTCTTCACTCACTCAAAGAATCGAAGCAAGAATCAAACACGAAGTGGTTTCTACAACCATTTTCAATGGCTAACCAGGGAAAGCAAAAACTAAAAATCTTCTCTCTTCCCATTATCCAACCCTTTCTTCAATGTCTATTTTATTTTTACCTTTGCAACTGATAGCAATTACAAAGTTCGTCTTGACATCAGAGCAGACATATAAAGGGGAATTCCAGTTACAATTCGAGTAGTTCCCCAAGTTTGTTTAAGAATTGATGTGAAATTTGTAACAATTAATTTGAGTTACAATTCAGGTAGAAAATAAATTAGGGTTAAAGGTGGGAAATATCGTAACTTCAGTAGAAGCACTCGATCAAACCTGAAAGCCTGACCGACTCGTGGTTTTCAGAGGGTGTAGAATCCCTCATGTGAATGGTTTTCCTAGAATGTACTCGTGGTTTTTCACAATGTTACAACTGGTAATATACTCTTAAGGTGTATGACCCTAGCATATCGCTTTTAGATTGTATAGACCCTTCAGGCATGGTTATCTTAGGAAGTGCTACTCCCACAGTGTGGGCATTCTTGGGTGCGCAATCCCTAAAAATTTCAAGCAGGTATAACAATGTTTAAAACCTCTATAACGCCAAGGAATGTTTGATCATGAGCTAAGAAGCACGGACACGGACACGACACGACACAGACATGGACACGGCGACACGGCAAATCCAAAAAAATTAGGACACGAACACGGTGAATAGTATATATATATATATATATATATATCAGCATTAATAATTTTTTTAAAAAAACACTGATTTGTTTAGGTTGGAATATATATATATATCATTGATATGTTAGTATATATATATATCAGCATCTTTAGGACACGGACACGGCGAATTGTGGCATCTTTAGGTTAGTATATATATATATATCAGCATATTTAAGTTAGTATATATATATATCAGCATCTTTAGGGTAGTACAAAACAAAAAATAGACCATATCAGCATTAAAAATTTAAAAAAAAAAAAAAAAAAAATTAACATATCAGCATTAAAAATTAAAAAAAAAAAAAAAATTCTAGAAAAGTGTGTCCGAGCCGTGTCTGAGCCGTGTCCGTGCCGTGTCCGAAAATTTAAAAAAATAAAAAAATTCCAGACACGTTTTTTGGCGTGTCCGACACGTGTCGGGGTGTGTCCGACGCGTGTCCGTGTCCAACACGTGTCGGACACGGATTCTTCGCCCATTTTGGAGTGTCCGTGCTTCCTAGATCATGAGTAAGTAGATTGGAGGTTCCCTGTTGTCAACAGGGGATTGAAGTTCCTTGTTGTTCCATACAAATGGTATGTCAGTGATTCTAGAACCTAGATAATAGGTTTATACAGTGTTGATGATGAGCATGGACAGATGCTTGGCAACTGATATTTCAATATGATTAAAGGACTGGAGTGCAATGATTGGGTAAAGTGGTCTTGTGCAATAAGCAATAAAAGGAGATACTAAGTAGTTTCGAGAGATCACAACGCCTGAGTTAATCATATCATTACCAACATAATGCATTTATCATTTTAATCCCTTTTGTCTACCATTATTATTGTGTTCTATTGATGAATTACACTGCTTGGCATTACTGCATCATTTCATCATCTCATTTTGTTCATTTGACTAACATATCTATAAGGATATAACGTTTTATAAGGTTTGGCACTTGTCAGATTACCATCTATAACTGAGATTCCTTTATCTGTTACTTTTTTTCCCTTGAGATTCCAGTAGAAGATGGAGGCCTGCTCCACCCCAGGGACTACTTAATACATGGCAGATTGCTATGTGGTGTTTCCAAATTTTATAAATTTATACAGATTTGACACGTATAACGAAGAAAATTTCAATACTTAAATATGCTTAATGCATAATGATATATATATATATATGCTTGAACTTTTGAATAGTATGTTAGAATGGAAGGTTCCCATAAATAAGTTGTCGATTTGGAAATCAATTATGTATCAGAACATTATTGGGGAAAAACTGTAATGTCTGTGATTTATACATATATATATTTTGTGGTGGAGAAATTAAAAAGGTGGGATTTTGTGAGTTGAGGGACCCACCACTTGATTTTTAATGGCCAAGAGGCCATTCTAGCCTCATTTTCATTCTCTCTCCCGTAAGATCTCTTCTCTCTCTCATTCTTGGTTTCTTTTTCTTTCTTTTTACATCATAGCTTCAATCTTTAATTACTCATTCATTTCTTGGAATTTTTGGATGCTGTTTGCGGCAAATGGAGAGCGCGGCGAGACCTACACATAGATGCAAGCAATTCCTTGTTTGGTGCACTCTAGGGATTTCGAATTTCGGGACCCATTTGAGGGTTTTTGCATCTAAGTGAGGTAGGGGTGTTTAATCCTTAACTTCTTGGATTTTAGTAAATTATTCTCTATGTGTTGTTGTCTAGCATGCTATAATTGTGATGAATTTTCTTTAATATGATTTAATTGTTGTATATGAAAATTATAATTATGTGTATGGTTGTTGTTGTGTAAGAAGAGCATGCCTAATGTGTTAAATTCCATACCTTTGGTGCTTATTAATTTGCTAGAAATTGCTATGTGAAAGTATGTTGAATTGTGTAATATAAAATTTTTTATTGTCATTACATTAGAAAAGTATGTGATGTTCATGCATGACATTGGGCATGAAAAAGGGAAAAATGTTTTGAAAGCAAATGAAACTATTTTGGGGAAATTGTGTTGAAAAGTGTTTGCGAAAACCCGGACACCTAGGAGGCGCCTAGTGGTTCGTGGTGTTAGTGTGATCTAGAAGGGGTTAGAGAGAGACTCTAGTGTGGTTGAGCTACCCAGACGACGCCATGGAGGTGCCATGTGGTCGGCGAAGACTAGCCAACCCCTCCCTCATGACGCCTTGGAGGTACATTGGGTCGGATTACACTAACGATTTGGAAGTTGAAACGGAAATGTTTTGGAAATGGGGAGCGACATGAGCATGGCATTGCACTTCATTGGCATACATGGTGTATTTGTGACTTGGATGACATTTGTGTTTATATTGGATGTTGTGGTTATAGTTTACATCCCCGGTATAGTATGATCCAGTTTTCATATTTTTTATTCTCTATGTGGATTCACAGGGTCATAAGAGGTGTGTCTTAGGCACCTCCTACTGAGCAATTTGCTCACCCCTTATATTTAACATTTTTCAGGACATGGACAGGAAGTGGCGGATGACGCTCCTCCAGAGGGTTCAATTGGTTAGTAAACCGTTTTGATATACTTTGTAGCTATGATCTCATTTTATTATTATTTATTTATTTATTATTATTATTATTATTTTTATATATAAACCCTGAGATAACACGTATATTATGTATTGACATAGGACAGGAAGGTAGTGTCCTTAGTTGACCTTGGGTTTGGGTAAGGACCCGGTTAGCGATTCGTACCCCCGGGTTCGGGTCGTTACAAAAACATTACGGATCATACTGTCATTTGGTTTATTAAGGAACAAAGATCGTAATTAAGAAGAGAAGATCGTAATTAAGTTTTAAGCACCTAAGACAATAGCTGGAGGGGATAAGGCCAGAAAAGTTTTGAGCACTCCAAAATAGCAACTTCCCTTGACATAGGGGTAGATACTAAACTACAAGTATATTCAAAATCTTTCATTCAATTAAAGAGAGTAAATTTTGAGGACTTGAAGAATTTAGTATATATACCCCAACCAATAGAAGGCCTCAAAAAAAAAATTCCTTTTATATATTGTTAACTATATATATATATATATATATATATATATATATAAATAAAATAAAAAAACCAACCAATAGAAAAAGCCCAAAATTTTTTGTTTCCTTACATTATTAACTTTCTAAAATTTTATTCCCAAAATTCTTATTTCCTTATAATGTTACCTCCATAAAATTTTTATTTCCTTATTGGAACCCCAACCAATAGGAGAGGTTTAATGGTAAGCCCAAAGAATTAAGTTCTATTTTCTATCCTTATATAACCATTTTTTTCCCTCCTCCCCTCATTCTACTTTCTTTTTTTTTTCCTCCTTTATCATTGCACCAGCTTTATTAATTATTGATTACATATTTATTGGATGGGTTATTTTATATTTTAAAAAAAAAAAAAAAAAACAAAACAAAACAAAACTTTGCAAAACTTGAATACAAAAATTAATTAGTAACTTTACATCTCAAAAAACAAGAAGGATGAATTTTAAATTAACATAATTAAAAGCCTATTTTATATTTTTCGCCTAAGGCATCAAATTATCCCCTGTATATGTAGTTCTACCTTAAAATTAAAAGTGTCGAGTTTAGCAATTTACACAAACTTGTTTTCAAGATGAAGGGAATCAAATCAAGATCATGAGTGCTCTCTCTCATAGTCATAAAAAATGAAAAATATGAAAAATCAAAATTACAAACAATGAAAAATATGAATACTCAAAATTTGGCCTGTTTGGTTCAGTTTTGTGACAACTCGAGAATCAGAAAATTGTACCCAAAATAAAAACTATTTGATTGACAGCTTTCAGAAAACTCAATTAGAAAAAGGGTTGTTTTGGGAACTGTTTTTATATTTTTCTGAATTCTTAAAAACTGGTATTAGAAAACTGAACCAAGCATGCCCAAAATCCTTTACTGTTTTTCTTAGAAACCAAACGAAGGATGATTAACAGAACATACAGATTGGTGGTAAACTGGTAATACGATCAAAAGTTATCGAAACAAAGAAAAAGAAAAATATCGACACCATGATTTCAAGTTAATAGTAACAAGAAAACAGAAGGAAACTAAATCTACAGATTGAAGTAGTTACGTACCTGCGTGGAGACAAGAACCTCATAGGTAACCGGAAACTTCTTGAGGCGCTTGAGCGCGTCCAGGCACCGACCTTCCTCGGCCGACGAATCTCCTCCGCCGTCAACGGCCGCCACGTCCGCCGCTTTCTTCACCGCTTCGAACAACTCAATCAACTCCTTCTCCATCATAATATCACTATTCCTCTAACTCATAACAAACAATACGGAAAAGATATATATATATATATACACACGTATAGAGTGAGAGAGAGAGAGAACGGGGTATGTAAGGATTGAAGGGAAGTTTATAGAAGGGTGTTTATATCGGACGGTCAGTATTGAGGGACTAGTGGCGCTAGATGTTTCGGTTAGAGTAGGAGTGTTGTTGAAACTTCGAACTAGTCCTTGACTAGTGATTAGGCGCGTAAGACTAGGCTCTGTTGGCACGTGACAAATATGATAAATAGGGCCTTCATTACAAATCCTTTCTTGTTCATTAATATTTTCTCTCTCATTGTTAATGGGTCGGTAATAATAAGCTAGTTTGAGAGTACAATTATTTTCTTTTAATTTTCTTTTAATTTTATATATATATATATATTCTTTCCTAGAAGGTAAGACAAAAATTTCAAAAAAAATATAGTTATCAAACCCGATATAGAATTTATTTCTCCTTGATCTTATCTAAGATTAGCTAATTACCAAATATAAAATAAAAACAAAATAAGAAAACTGTTAAAAATAAAAAAGTTGACTCAAAATTAAAATAAATCAAAACTAGCTAAAACTTTCTGATTTTCTTTGTCCTTACTTGCTATAAATTTCTGATTTTCTTTGCCCTTCCTCCACTTCTTTCCTTTTCCGGGTGTTCCAATGATTTAGGAAATCTTCTCTTGATCCAATGTTGTTGAAAATCGAAAAGTTGACTCAAAATTAAAAATAAATCAAAACTCCACTTCTTTCCTTTTTCCGGTGTTCCAATGTTTTCGGAAATCTTTTACTGATCCAATGACGATTCCTTGTTTGTTTGCGTGTGTGTTTTTAAAGGTGAATATGCGTGGCTTGTGTGTGTAGCACTTGGGGAATTAAATCTAAGGAGTATCTTTTACAAATTCAAGATAACCGAAATAATTCTACTTTCTTCTTTAAATATTAAAATTAAAAATTAGCTTTCCAAGTGTCAAAAGATCTTTTTGTGTAAAATATGCATAATGTGTAAAATATTTTTATCGACATATTACTACCTCAGCAATATGAAAAGCACAATCTCTTTACACATCCACATTAACCTATTTTATCTTTCTTCCCTCTTTCTCATTCAATTATCAATGAATTAACTCTATTCGAGGTAAGTTCATAGTAATTATATGAAATTATATGAAGTCTTGAATATGACACGTGATTGTTATTATTATTTTGACACAATGACGGAACTAAAAATAATTAGTCCAAATTTTTAACTTAAATCCACTATAAAACATCAAATTTACATCCAAAAAAAAAATATTTATAGACAACCATTAGATGCTCTTTTGCTCATGGGGACCATATATGAGTATCTGAACTGAATTCTGTTACTACAACAATCACACGGTCACACCAATATTGCTAACGTACTATAAATAAAAATAATAAATCTGCCTTTTTTTTTTTCTTTTTCTTTTTTTTTTTCCTCATAAGCTAAAGTTTCAAACCCGTGGCCTCCCTTTAGGAAGCATGAGTCTGGTTTGGCCCTTTGGTGATTTCCGAATTCTGTTGGTACAACAATCATACCAATGCTCTCTGAACTTGCTATATGATGTTGAATCTTCTTACCATCGCGAGCAATGACTTTTACGCTTAGAATTTATATAATAGCTTGAAACACTGAAACTCACAAGGTAAATGATCAAATCTATGATTTTATGGCACAGACAAGAGGCAGTTTCGTACATGTTACTACAATTTGCATTCTACCCATAGGACATAGCAAGGAAAATCCGTCTGTCATTACATAAATTCATATGGCGGGAAGGCGACAACAACAACAACGCACACCGGCAGTGATACTCTTCAACAGTTTGGCCGGCCTAAATCATTAGCAAAGAAGAAAATAAAAAAGAGGGGGAGGCGACAACAACAACATACTCCGGCAGTGATAATACTCTTCAACAGGTAGGCCGGACTAAATTATTAGCCAAAAAGTAGATAAAAAAGAGAGGAGTCAAGTGAGAAGGAGCTGAGGCATTGGGAGTTGTCATAACCTCACAGACTGAACACAACCAACAATTTGACATTCGAATTCTGTCAACCTCAAAATGCAACACAAAACAGAAACATATGTCAACTAATTGATTATTGATTGCTATTGAAGTAATCAAACTCAGGTGGGTGACCAGAGGGAACTGAACTGGAAAAACAACTAATTGATTATTGATTGCTATTGAAGTAATCAAACTCAGGTGGGTGACCAGAGGGAACTGAACTGGAAAAACGTCCCAGGGAACTCTGGACATGTATAGCATAACTCAATATTCTTTTTTGGCAAAAAAATCCAATAAAAAGAAACAAGCTTTCCCTAAAGTATATTAGATTACAAAGCATGAAATGTTTTCTTTGCATGCTCTGCGTTAATCACTGAGGTAGAATTGTCTTACCAATTTCTATTTCACTAACAACAGGACCGTGCATTTCTTGATTGACAAGTGAAGAATCTTCAAACTTTTTTTTATTTTTGGAAGTTAGCAACTACTCACACACCCTACCTCCACCGAGGTTCGAACCCCCGACCTCCCTATGGGAAGGAAAGGGTGATACCGCTGGGCCATTTGGTCCTTTGGTAAGAATGTTCAAACTTTTGTGTGTCTGTGAGAGAGAGACCACGTCACAAAATACGAACAAAAACAAATTCCATAGTAAAACTTGTAACAAATCAAGCTGACCTATTAATCCTTAAGGACGTTCTAGTGTAAGCACTCCATGTGGGTAAAGAATGCTAAAAAACCCATGGGACTGAACATGACCGAAGTGCCAAAAAATTAACATCTGAGGAAAGTGTAGAGTGCTTCCAAGCACCCCCAAATATTTCATTAACTAGTTAAATGATAGATAGAATTATTAATTCTACCCTACTCAATTCAACTTGACAAAGGCTTTTCCCTACTATTTGGGGTTGGTTACAAGAATCATGTTTTGTGAGTATGCTCTATCTAAGGTCGTAGCCTCAATTAAATCATATCCTAATTCATATTAGCTTTTGTCTTCCTTTACCTAGGTTAGCATCAATATGTACCATGTCAGTTTTCCAAACCGATGTTCTTAATGGCCGTCATTGGACATAAGTCACATGACTAAACCACTTTACTCATGTTTTTTTTTTTTTTGGTCATCTACCCACACATCCATCTCAACATTAGCATTTTTACAACACTCATTTTATGAATATATTGTTTCCTAACCGCCCAATATTCTATCCCATAATGTATGGTTGGGCTAATGACTATTTTATAAAATTTACCTTTCAATTTTAGAGGTACACATGGACCCCACAATATGCCATAATTACTCCTCCATTTAACCCATCCTATTTTAATCATATGCCTTTTGGACCACAATTCACATATCTAGCCTCTTCAAACAAAATGGAAGAGAGCCTCAATCAACTCCAATTGTTTCATCAAAACAAAGCAGTACTCCTTTAGCTAGGAATGGGTGGGTTGCCTAAAAAGCTTTTATCGGTCAATGTGCTTTATAATATGATCAAACCTATTGAATTCTCAAGACTGTTGCTTACATTAATATTCCTAAATAAATTAATCTAAAGCGGATTAAAAAAATCTCAATTTTGCAAAACTGGAGATGAGAGCTCCGGTACATTATTCAATAAGCTATAACGGATAAAATCCTATACCAGAGCGTAAACAACCAAATTTTAGCAGATGTATGGATACTAAAATATCAAAAAGATAATTTAGAGACACTAACAAATTATCTTGCCCTTACTGTTTGCAAGAGGAAAGCCACAAATACATCTCCAGATATAAGATATATAAGTAGCGTAGAGAGAGTAATAACAATCAGATGTAGAAAACAAGTCGAATAAAGAGAACATCATAAACATAAAAGTTCAAATCCATCCATTAATCCCAGGAATTAATGCCAACAAGGCCTCGACATAGTACTAAGACAAATAAGAAAATGAAACTGCATTATTTGAATAAAATCTGTCCACAGTTTTCCCATCAGCAAATTGAGGAATGATGTCAAAAAGCTTTACCAGATAGATTTCACATCTCTTTTCACTTTTCAGGCTCTGGTTTCTCAAAAAATGTCTTCTTCAACCAATCAAATGGCTGCAAGTTATTGAAATGTAGAAGAAAAAGTAAGTAAGAAAGTCTGCAAAAGTTATAGACAAGTGAAAATTAATTGACAGGTATTACACGAATTTAATAACATGATATCAAAATGTGAAGAAACAAGAATATCCAAGAGGCATTATCAATGTTAAAGCATCATTTCACTATTTGCAGCTTTTGAATTCCAATATTATTATCCCACAAGAACAAACCATTATCCCACAAGAACAAACCCTTAATTCAAAATTTTAAGGAAGTATATAGGTTCCAACAAAATCATAGTTGAAGTAGTAATTTTTTAGTCACAAAAGAGGACTCATTTACCTGTAATTTACAATCTACAATATTTCATCAATACAACAAAAATCAAATGACACAGCAAAAAGGTACATTGATGAAAATTCAAAATGTATCAAAAATAAATAAATGAATGGAATTAGCGTCTCTGAGACCTAATCAACAAACCCTTAAGCAACTATGAGACAAACTTCAACAAAACTATGAGCTATCCCATCTGCACAATTGCTGCTTTGCGGAGTACCAATGAATAACATGTTTAAAAAAATTCTTAAAATTAATTCTTTTTTTTTTTAAGTGGAACTGCAGGAGCCACATTTACTGAAAAACATGCATCAACACTGTCGCTGGAAACTAGGGGAAAAAAAAAAAAAGATGAGGATAAAGACTTTTTGGCAAGCCTAGCTGCATGAGTCTATGGGTAGTCGTACTACCATACCACAACGAATCCTACCTTTCCATATGCTTTATTGACACGGGACAAGAAATGCATCAATAAATAGAATAATAGATGCCATATATCAATAAACGAGTAATTACCGAAACGGACTGTGATCAATGACATGGACCGAAATTCTTAGGACTTACAACTTCTTAACCCAATAAAATTTCTAAAGAATCAGCTGATAATGGACACTCTCAAACTAGAAGACCATGGGATACATAATCAGCAATGATTCAACGACCAAGGTTCCAACTTTCATGAAATTTCCAAGCTCAATCAATTAACATTACATCCATACGTCCACCAACATAGAATATGTACTAACCAAAAAAAAAGTCAATCTTTCATTTTTCACATAGCATCAACAAGACAAACAAAATTCACTAATATAAATGTTTGAATAAGCAATTGAAATCAAATTCTGCAGCTATAATTTTACTTATCAATTAAAAAAAAAAAAAAATCTGAAGCTATATTTCTGAGTTCTAAGATATACATAAATATATAAGTTTACAAAGTCATGCCACCTATATAATCCACACTAACAATAAAACCATATTCCCAATATCAAAATCTAACAGAAAAAAAAATAAGCAAAGGAAAAATTACAATAAACCGTTAAATGGAAACGATAAATAAAATTAAAATATGTAGAGATGTTCAGATCGAAAGTGTAAGAATAAGATGAGACGTGTGGTCCAAAATATATGTATGTATAAGATATATAGACAGAAATTAGAGGACCTGGACGAGATAAAGAGCGGTGGTAGCGGCAGCGACGCCCCACATGGCGGCGGCCTGGATGTCAGTGGCCTGAATACGGAGACCTGGCCGAACGATCTTGAAGAGACCCGATCCTGCTGCACCTGCCATTTCCGCAATCAACAAACCCTAAATTTGGAGATTGGAGGCCTTTTTGAGTGAGAAAAAGATTCTGTTTTTTCAGGAGGACGATAATGAACTCTGAACGGAGGAAATTTTTATACTACTCCAATTGGTCAATTTTTTTATTCAAAACGCATGATTCATTGTTTTTTCTTTTTACGTTTCTATTTCGAAAAAAAAAAATAATAATAAAATAAAATTGTATAAAAATATGTTTTGTTGATACTTGATACCTTTGTAAGATTATTTTCTGAAAAACCAGTTAAAATTTTTTAATAATCAATCTTTTTATAAGTTTCTGAATTTTTAAAATATTGAATCGAGAGTTAATTTAATTATTATTAGTGTAATCTAACATCATTCATTTTTGTTTTCTAAACAATGAGTAGAATTAATGTCGATTGTGAAAATAATTCCCTTGCAAATCATAAACCAATTATATTTTATAGGGTCCTTTTGTTGGTGGGTAATAATATACCATTCTCGACCCGAAAAAAAAAAATAATAAATATAAAGATAAAGATAAAAATTGCCAACTGCCACCACATAACCAGGCCATTATAGCAAAACCCATCTTAAAAATGATACGCACAAGAAAGTAATATTCCTTTGGCGTAATATTCCTTTGGCACCAAACAAAGCTGCTGCTTGGTTAAATGAGAAAAATCCAATGAGGGTCCAAGGGGAAGGGTAAAAAGTGATCTCAAAGTTAATAAACTATGAAGGCTCCAACAATGAGAATTAAGGTCAAATTTTAAATTAATGTCACTAACCTAGAATACAAGTTTAAAATCAACTATCTCGAAGAAAAAAAAAACGCGGGGCAGAGAAGTCATCAGAAATGAGATCACATCCGCTCATTACAACTCATTTTCCAGGCATGGACATCAGTCAAAAATTGAAAACGAATTCCTAACTGGATCTATTTTAGTGTTTCCATCTTTCAGAGAATTATACTGAATTTGACACCGGGGTGACAATTTTTTCAGTGTCCGTTGTTTTTGGTGGTGGGCGACCCTTATCTGGACCACCAATAACACCCCATGTCTCAAATTGCCTTTGTCGAGCTCTTGCCCTCTCTTTCTCTAGTTCAGATTTCGAAGAGTAACAGTGTGGACAAGAAACTCCATACTCCCACTCTGGAGCTTCCATATCCGCATCACTCACAGGTTGCTTGCACCCATAGCAAAGCTTGAAAGTACCCTGTGCCAACCCATGTTCAACCGAAACTCGCTTGTCAAACACAAAGCACTCACCTTCCCAAAGGCTCTCAGACTCTGGGATTTCCTCCAGGTATTTCAGAATCCCACCTTCCAGATGATAAACCTGAAAAAGCATTGAGAATGCAGAAAACAAAAAAATAAAAATGAATCACTTATCTTATTATTGGTTTATGGCTTAGCCAAGCACATAATAATGATCTCCTGCAGACTCAAGCAGTGTGCTAAATTGAGTTTCAAAGATTTTGTCCGTCAAACTACATGTCTATATCTTTTTCCTTTAATGGAATATCAAGATAAAAATCAATAGAAAAACCATTTAATACACATTTTAAAACAGAACAATCAATACAAATACCATTTAATGACACATTTTAAAACAGAACAATCAATACAGCCCCTTGGAATTAGCCTGGCAGAAGGATGCGGTAGGGTTGGCTGTCATTTATTTTAATCTTGCAACCAAAAAAAAACACAAACGAAATGCCAATGAGGTTCATATTAATTTTTTAATAGTTTAAAAGAAAACTTTGTCCTCCAAGATATTGTCAATAAATCGATGTTATCTGGTTATTCATGTACAACATTGATGACAAAATAGTGTCTTCACTTTTCTCATGAAATATAAAATTACCCCCTAGGAGACATTGCTTCATCCAGTGATAGGAGCTCAAAACTATTCAAGTCAGAGGACCAGCAACGTTGCACCAATGCCAAAGATTGTTTGTATTGAGTTCCTCCCAGCTAACACAAACAGAATTCCATGTTTATGTGACACATATAAGATGGAATCTTACTGCACAAAGTAGCAGGCAGCAGCAGCAGAACCATCACTACTACCACCACCAACAAAACCTTTTTTTCCAACTAGTTGGGGACATGAATACGCATTTCTGTCTTGACAAATAGTTTTACACCAACTGTCAAGATACCTAATGCAACCCTCCCCCTTTATTGGGGCTTGATATTGGCTGTGCAAAGATCAGCACTAAACATGACACAGACGAGCTTCATATTGCACAGAGCAGAAATATATAAATAAATAATATTAAAAAAATCCAAAACCCTATATAAAGCTGCAAGAATATACATAATCTGCTTCAGAAATAACCTAAAATCCTTAGGCATGAATTGTATAAAATGGCTAGGCTCAAACTTGAACCCACAGTTTCATGGTTGGGTCCAAGCATTTACCATTGCACCGAGCACTTGTCTAGACACCCTCAATTAATGGAGACTACATTAAGTAATGACCTTTAGCTGCAGGTCAGAAGAAGACTGCATATATGGCACAACAAACTAATAATATATTCAATTTCATGCGCAATCTCCATCAAACCCTAAAAGGCTTGATTTCAAGATATTTCACTTTTGGACTGTGTGCCTTTCAACTGATATAAATAGAAAACTTCACCTCAAACTACAAATACAATTAAGAAATGTAGATAGAAGGAAAAAATAATTTCAAAATTTGGAAGAAATGAACCCACAAAAGGTAATAATTACTTTATCCTCTTGGATGGGTTACTCTTTCATTGTTTAACATATAGCTTCTGCGATGAAATCCATGTAACATTGACTCTTCCCTTTCAAAAGGTAAAATGAGCATAATAGAAGTCAGGTCGAGTGTTAAGAATAGAGCTGAAAAGAAAAGTTACCTCTTTGAAACCTTTGCCGAGGAGAAAACTTGAAGCTTTCTCACATCTGATTCCACCTGTGCAGTACATAGCAACCCGAGGCGGCATTTCACGTCCATTCTCTCCATGTGATGTGGTACTTCTGGTTGAACCATTCAACTCCACCTGGCCTTCTTTTTCACTAAGTTGAAACTGATCTGCCACCCAGGATGGGAACTCCCGAAATGCAGTGGTACACGGATCAACTGCTCCTTTAAACTTCCCAATTCTAGTTTCATAATTATTGCGCACATCAATCACTACCTAAATGTGTAATGTCAACAATAAGTTTAGGTTCAAGATCTGTAGGCAAAAGCAAGCTTTGTCTCTGTGACTAGTAAGTAGTAACTACATTGATCAACGCTCAAGTTTTAAGTGCCTTAAACATAAAGTGCGTTAACTACATATTAATTTAGAATTAAATTCAGTGCTAGTTGAGACAAAAATAAAATTCAACAGTATTTCTAACTTCCCAATTCTAGTTTCATAATTATTGCGCACATCAATCACTACCTAAATGTGTAATGTCAACAATAAGTTTAGGTTCAAGATCTGTAGGCAAAAGCAAGCTTTGTCTCTGTGACTAGTAAGTAGTAACTACATTGATCAACGCTCAAGTTTTAAGTGCCTTAAACATAAAGTGCGTTAACTACATATTAATTTAGAATTAAATTCAGTGCTAGTTGAGACAAAAATAAAATTCAACAGTATGTCTAACTTCATAACAAAGCACAGTCCCATATGCAGCTTGGGGAAGGGGATGACCAAAATCGACATGGGTAAAAAAGGGGTTTTCACTCTATTGACTGATCTAAAAAGTCTCCAAGTTGCTGAGCGAAAGTCCTTGTGACGCGAGTGAAGCTCCTTAGTAGGTTGCCTCAAAATTAGACAAAGTATCATGGAAAAATAGGATTCAAGTACAAGTTGTTGGGAAAATTCTTTGTCGTGTGCGTTGAGTACATTCCCATACAATAAAACTTAAAACTAAAACCTTAACAAAATTCATATGGCAAAAAAAAAAAAAATCATTATCAACGCCTACTATAGTAGAAGCTTTAAGGAGGCCAGGTATCGATTTTCAATCCAAGAAAAGCACTTGGCCATGCTGATCATGTGGCATAGATAAAATCACAAATCATCTTCACAACCAATTAAGTATTTATGGGATTTTTTTAGAAAACACGGGTAACATGCAAATTTTAACCTTTTTGCTATATACCATGCAGCTTCACAACCTACATCTCTTCAAATACATCAAAAAGCACTACCATTCCAACACTCGAGTGGAAAAAAAAAATGACCCTATCTATTTAGTTTTCATCTATCGATTGTAGTTGAAAATAACTTAGAACAAGCTAGCTAAAGCTGAAACAAAATGGTAAATACATCTGGCAGAATTGTGGATCAATTCAAGCAGAAGCAACTATAAAATGTAAAATTTTATACATAACAAATTCAATTAATCAATTATACAGGGGCTCAGCAACTAAACTGGAGTTAAGTTACTCACTGTATCTGGATCACTAATCAATGAATTCCAATCCTTTGGATTTACATATTTTCCAACTCTTTCAATTGGTGACACGGTAGGCAGTCCAAGAGAAACTATCTGCTTATACATAAAACAATATGAAAATAAGTGACTTTTCAATACATATATATATATATATGAAAACAAGTGCCACCTCATAGAAAGTATGACGCACAGATAATTCCTACAGTTCCTAAGAAATGTAGGGTCATCGGTCCAAATTAATAACTATTGCAAAGAACAATACCTCGCTTTTCAACTTGACCCTCACATGATCCCAACGAAAGGGAGCATCTTCGCCTGCTGCAAGAGGAGAACTGCTACTGTGTCCATGATGGATATCTTCTTCCTCAGGACTTACAGGCGATTCCACTTGTCTAAGCCCTTTCAAACGGTTATCACTTTCAATGAATCCAAGAACTCTTTTCACTGATTCACGTGTCCCACATATGCTGCCATTGATTCCTTCTGGTGCAAGAATAATACCACCTGAAACACGCTGAACAGCATCAGCTTGGTGAGGTATGAATGGCACAGATGAATAAGCATCGTAATAATAATAAGATGAATAAGAATAGTGAGATGCAAGGATCTGCTAGATAAAGGAGCTAACTGATGATGCAAACATTGGTGAATTAATTCATGAAATTGCAGAAAATATGGCAAAACAATTATCTACCCCAAGCTGAACAATATAATCATGTGGCTTGATCATGATTACAACCTATTTAAGAAAAAACAGACAGAAAAAAAAAAAAAAAAAATTCCCTAACAAAAACCACAAATTGGGTGACTTGCAACTCAATCCCTGCACAGCCTTTAAAGGCTTTCAAATGTCATATTGCTTCACAGTTCGTCTACTTGTTCCTAATTATATGACTTTGAATCGTACTAATCCCAATTTCTTTCCCTGGATAATGCACATGCATACCAAGTGGTTCATGCCAAGTGCTACCTTGCACCTAGTCATGTAAGCAATGCATAGTTTTTTTTTCCTCTCTCTATTATGTATAATAACATCACTTAGCATTCTCGCTGCATCAACATTATCTGAAAAGTTGTATGTGGAGCTGTGTTCATGATGCAAAAATTTCTCTCACAATTATTCATTAGCCATCCTTGCATTGCTAATCAACATGAATGCCAAAAACTTCATCCATATCAAAAAAGTAGGTCAAGCTTCTATCCACAAATACACATGCACATTACAGATCACCAAACAATTTCATCGACATAATTATCCCGGGTAACCTCAGCTTAAAATACCTAATTAATAGGACAAGTGTCTTTCCAAATTCATAGTACCAACTAATGGACTTTTACATATGAGCCACAATGAGAATTTATGCCGAGCATTGTTGTTTCGAGAATTGAAATAGTACCATATTGACTTTCACTTGTATCTAAGGTTACTCCACAAAAGGCATTTCAACACTTTGGATACCCGCGCAAACAATAGCAACATTTCATTTTACCCCCTATGAATTTGTTTTAGACACGAGATTCAGTAATAACGTATTTAAAATTTTATACCTTGTTATTTCAATACTATCCGCACTCACAAGGAGCAGCAACATGCTTAGCCAACTTTCCAATAGCTTTTCAAAAGTACTTATTTTGCTTTGGCTACTTCATTTTTTTATCCAGTTTTTGCCCTCAAAAACAAGATTTACTTCCGAAATTCCAACCAATTTGCAGCTTCCATAAAATATTTGAAAACAAAAGTTACACATTTTTATACAGAGGGTTTTCATAATCAGTATTATTCAACAACTTCCATACATATATATATATATGCGAATTCAGCACTTTCATACATATATATATACGAAGAAGAAAATTACCAGTTCTTCGCAGAGTTCCTTCAAGGGCTTTCGTATGTTGGCGTGGTCTGGAAAATCTGCGAACTTGTAGAAGGACACGACCGTGAGAGACTGTGGATCCGAGTCAATCGTTTCTTGTTCCGTATTACAAACGGTAATGGGGTGTGCGGTTGCAGAGAAGCATTTGGATAGTGTGATGGTTTGAGAATAGGGTGAATTGGAGAGAGAAAAATTAGGGTTTTCAAAGAGAGGGAGGGTTGGAGACTTGGAAGGAGTTGCAGAGGACGTTTTCATGGTGCGATGTAAGCTAGGGTTTGGGATTGAGGAACGAGTTGTTGATGATAGCATCCTCAGTGCGATCAGTGAAGAAGACGTTCCGGATCGAAGCAAAGGCTGCGATTGCATCGAGAAGCACATCTAGTGCTCTGTACAGTAGTAATTTTATAACCCTTCGATTTATTAAGAACCAATTTTGATTTTTTTTTTTTAAAAAAAAAAAATTTACCCAAAAAAATAATACTTAGTGAAATATTTTTTTGATTTTTTATTTTTTAATAAATGATGAAAACTTGTTTTGCCATTGGCCCATTACCATCACAAAATAAAAAATAAAAAATAGATAAATAAATTTTATTTTTTTAAAATTTTCTCTCTACCATTTAATACAACAATGCTAAATAGGACTTCAGTCCATTGTACTTTAAATAAATTAATTTGTTCGATGCAAGTTATTTTGTCTGAAATTTAGATTGAAATTTTCAATTGAAAATTTATTATTTTTCCTTACCATTTAAAAACAATTAATTGCCAACATTTTCTTTTCTTTCTCGTGATTATTTATTTTTTTACCCACTCTCTCGTGATTAATACTCCCATTTCCTTGCCTCTCATTTCTACCATTGTACGTGCACACTAAAATTGAAGGAGACAAAGGGGAGAAAAAAGGATATTGAATAGGGCATTTACCATTTTATGAAATTTGTACTAGATTAGTTTTAAGTTTATAATTTTACCATTTTTTTTTCAGTGGAACATAATATTACAATTTTAATTTATAAAAATAAAATGATAAAAATATTTTTTTAATTATATTTCAGTTTATTTGAAATATACATTCTGCTGGTAGAATTGAAGTATTAAAATTAAAATTGGTCAAATTGTAAAAAAAAAAATTTACTCATGTATAATTGTGTGTGTGTGTATATATATATGTATATATATCAATATAAATTAGTTCGGTGTTGTGGATTTGTTTGTGTCTGGTCTTATTCCTCTATCCGGAACATAAGCAATTGAGAGCGAGAATTAGGGATGGCAATGGGACAATTTAGGGCGCACATCTCATTCTCTATTCCCAACTCCGTTTAATTTTTTCATCCTCGTAATCGCTTCAAAACCCACTGGGTTTTTCAAAATAGCCTCCATCCTCGCGCCATTTACATAATTGGTTCCAAAATCGCCCCAAAATTGGGCAAAACCCGCCGAGATTGGAATTTTTGTCATCCCTAATATATATACTTAACCTATTTTAGTAATTTATCATAATATGTAAGGGTAATTTAATAAATTTATAGTATATTTAGAGCGGACAACCATACCCCGAAATTAGGGGTGGCAAATTACGACACGATATGACATGAACACAATATGAGTTAAAAGGGTTTGAGTTTGGGTTTCGTATAAACGGGTTTGGGTCATAAAAATGTCGACACGATTAACCCGCTTACTTAACCGTATCGGGTTAGAATTAAGGAGTTCTACCCGTTTATAACCCATTTAACTAACACATGTTATAATCGTGAATATGATTTATGTAATATATTACCTGTTTAAACCTAATTACAATGGATAATTAACTCATTTCAACATAAACCTTGTCTATACCTTATGATTTTTCTTTTTATTTTGAATATTTGGGTTAATTATGACAATTTTTACTATTATTTAGTATTTGATTAAATATTAAATGTCTCGTTTTGATAAACAGATCATTAAACGGGTTAACATGTTTACTTGTTTAATAAACAAGTTGGGTTAGTGTTGAGAATTTTTAACACGATTATTAAATAGGTTAAATTTAGATTTACCTATTATGTATAATCCCGTTATATCACACGACACGAACACGAATTGTCACCCTTAACCAAAACTGTCCCAAAATCGGCGGATGTTTTAAAGCAATTCCCATCCCCATTTACATCATGGATTTTCCAAAATTGTTGGAGATAGGTCTGTCATTGACAGAAATAGAAAGTGGACATGTCATTTAACAAAGTAATGGGGGGCAATCGCAGAATTTGATTGTGTCTGGTAAATCAGAGGAGCGAAGTGAATTTATGATTTGATTCTGTTCGATGATTGGACGAGTGGATTCCAATACTACAAAATTAAATTTCATTGATTTGGGTTTCAGGTTTGATTTGGGTCCGAAAAGACCAAATTAAATTGTTAATTTCAAATATGAAAAATAATATGGAGTCTGACCACAAATGTCGGTATAATGTCATGATGCTCCCACTCTGATTTTCTATCAATATATATATACACACTCATTTATATATAGCATTGTATATTTCAAATTCATTTTTCATTAATTACCGATTTTTTTTTTCAGTTTTTCATTTGGTTGGTTTGTATATGTGTATGAATATAAGAAAGTACAACAGAATTAACCCTATTATGCATAGCATAATCACGTGTCTATATGTATTTCAAATTCTGTTTAATTGTATTATGTATAGAGGAGATCATGATGTCCAACAAACAGTTTAAAAAAATAATTTCCCATGAGATAGAGGATCACAAATATTAGAAAAATGATTATTGCACTTATTTTTTGTGGTGAATTCTTAAATTTATAATTTATAATTAGTCATTTATATAACAAATAAGAAAGTGAACCTCTACTTAATTGTATTTGGTATAAATAACTAATAAAAAATTATTCAACTTCGGGGACTCTAATTACAAATATTATTGTGAAAAATAGATCACCATAATTCATAATGGGCAAGAAATTGACCACCAAAGTTCTAGTATGAAGCAAAGTAATTAAAGTACAACAATTTAGTTCTCAACAAATTACTGAACAATGCTAAGAGAGCAATTTTCTCATCCTCCACCTATCTTTTAATCAGCTGCTAAAAAAACATGCAAAATGTTGTATTGACGCTCAGCTTGCACAATCACACACCCCCCACTTTTAGAGGACTTGTTGGTTTACAAATTATAATCCTACCATTTAAAGACATCAAAGAATGACTATGATGTATCCATTGAATTTATTCGTTTAGAAATTTCTACAAAGAACAATTATGACGCATCTCAATCAACCGTTGATTTTGTTCTTTAACAAATTTCTATAATATTTGTTTTTGGGGTAAATAATTTTTAAAATATTTCATACAAGTCCATCATCTTCAACAACTATTCAGAGTTTTGATAAGGACAAGTGCAGAAAACACCCTTAAAGTATATTACGTGTTGTACTTTTAACCCCCTATTTAAAAAAGTATGCAAACAACACCCCTAATCTTTTTACATTGTGCAAAAATACCCCTTAATCAGAAATCTAACATAAATTAGTATTGTAATACATGTTTTGCCCTTTTACTCCTCTAAAAATGTCCAATGGGGTATATATACTGCTAATCTCATAGTATAGAGGTGTTATGTGCACATTACCTTATATATATATATATATATATATTTAAATTCCTTTATACATATCTCTATTTTTATTTATTTATTTTTTTGTGAGATTTTGTAGAATAAGGCTCTGATTATTTTGAAATTTCAGTTTACTGTTTTTTACTAATTTTATTTTATTTTATTTTATTTTTGGTACCAACATTGTTAAACAAAAAAAAAAGGAAAAAAATCACAATATCAATGTGTGCTAGTTTTCGGAATTTGGACCAAATTTGTTTTCTTTAGTTTGGACTTTATTTTCATTTTCATTTTATTTTTATTTTTATCTTTACTTGTCTATTGTCGACGCGCTCCAATAATGTTCTTTTCGCTCATTTTACAAAACTATTTATTTTTATATATTTTATAAAATGGTTCAGTAAGGGTAATATAGTCAACTTAGGGTTTAAAACTTTAAGGGTGTTTTTTGTAGCATATGCCTCGATAACCCAGTGGGTTAGTGCCTCCGGTAGATTTTGGAGTGTCAAGTTTCGACTCTCTGCATTTACTAATATAATTTTTAACACTTATTGCTTTGTAAAAAAATAATGTTTTTTTGCACGTGAGGGCATCCTTCAATGGTATCATTTTTTAAAATTTTTTATTTTTATATATTTTTTTATAAAATGGTTCAGTAAGGGTAATTTAATCAACTTAAGAGTTAAATTTATCAGAGGGATTTATTTGTACCAAATTAAAATTTTAGAGGTGTTTTTTTACACGTGAGAGATGTATTATGCACTATAAACATACTTTAAATGTATTAAATTTTGATATGTATGAACAATGAACTTTCAACATATTGATTTGTTTAAAGAAACATTAATTAATTCTTTAACAAGTTAATGATCCATGATATTTAATCCGAAGATAGAGATTAATTAGTCTCACTTGAGTGCATTTAAATGAAGTTTTGTTTGGCTCCCTCTCACAGTACTCAATCTTTGAATGGAGTATCATTTTTTAGTTGTGATGCTGTATTAGCAAAATATCTATTGAATTATCGAAATCGAATTGGATCGAGTAAAATATTTATCGGATTTGGATCAGGTCTAATCCTGTACAAATCCGATATTTACTTAGAAGTGGCGCCCTGTCGGTCGAGTTGAAATTCAAAAAAGTCTTATGTATGCATTTACTGTATACGTAAGACTTTTATTGTATTCAAAAAGTCGGAATTCAGCAGCATTGTCCGAATACAATTATGCAGCAGCCGGTGCATTAATTTGACATGAATGATACAATTTTAACATTATTGACCATCTTGGTGGTTTTGGAATTGTCAAATACTATTTTAGCATTATTGAAACACTGCATAAACCCAAGTGGCTAATATCCTTTTCTACCTAGCTAGTTACAACAACACGATAACGCGTAACATATGAAGGCGACCATGTTGGCCGATTTAACCCACTGATTTAACATGAAAATGTTTTATTTGTTTTAATTATAAAAATATATATTTTATTTGTATGTTTTGGAAAGGATAACAAAAGATATTCAACAACTTATCACACTAAAGAGTGAGGTGGTTTAAATAGCACCATTCATATCTCAACTTAGCATTATTTTTTACATATATATTAAATTAGTGAGTGTTATCAAACATATGTTATTTCATTCTCTTGTATTTTATGTTTAATTGGTACTATTTTTGGCCATTGGCCTCTTTCACCATATAGCCTTCAAAAATCAACAATAATTTAGCGGCCACCAAGAAAATTCGATATTTCATTTGATGTCACTTTTTTATTTAAAGATAATAATGAGATTGTCATATATTTAATTCTATCATTTCTTAATTTGCCACTTCTCTTCTCATTTTCCTAATTAAATTTTTTTTCCCAACACTCAAAATAAACCACATTCAGATTTCCTTAAATTTGAATGGTCAAAACATATTATTTTGAACTAGGAGACTAGGACCCATCAAATCAAAATATAGGATTTTGTTTTCTTTATATATCAATAATTATTTAGAGTTCGGAATTCCAAATCCGTACTAATTTATTTGAGTTATGTTATTGATATTCTTAAATTTGTCGGACTAATAACTGTCATTGCTTTTTATATATTTATTAATTATTTGAAGTAACTTGAGTCCACCTCATTTCGTACTTCCCACTTTTAATCCATTCAACCTACATAAAAAACCATAGTGTGGAAATCACAAAACTCGTCACCATTTTAAAAAAAATAGTGTATAAAAATCATTCCTAAAATTTTAAAAATTCTTTAACTAACAAAATTTATTAAGTTACTCTAAATCCAGTGAAATGTCAAATTTGACTTTGTTATTTAATATTAAATTAAAAATTATTGTTATTATTATTATTATTATTAAATTACAAAATACCCTAAAGCGCTTATAAAAACACCCTAATTAAAAGCTATTAAATCGATTTTAACTTTCAAAGTGCTTCGGAAAAAGACAATGATATTTTTATAATTTTAAAATAATAATTATAACTTTTAATTTAATATTAAATAGTAAGTTTAAATTTGACATTTCATAATCTATTTAATAAGTCCAAGATTTTTTTTTTTAATCCTGTTCGAAATTTTATACACAATTTTAGAAGTAGAGGAATAATTTATGATTTTAACCCATAACCGAATACGAGCTTTTTGTCACGGACAAAAAAAAACACTAATACGAGGGGAGAGTAGCCCATGGTGCAGTTGACTGATTGGTCATGGGCTCCACAGGATCTGACTTGTGCTATGCCACATGGCACACACCAAGTGAGGTTTATACATGTGTCAAAGGGTTCAACCCCACCACCACCCCCAACAATACTACTTCCATAACCAAACAGAATCCTTAATTTTCTCCACTAATTCTCTCAATTTAACACCGCAGTCACATCTTCAAACTTAGAAAAATTCTTATTCATGGTCCAAACAAGGGTTTCAATGTGGGCTAGGTCTTCTTGTGGACTTAATGAATAAGTGCAGTGTTCGTGTGACCAGACCATGACCAAGTCATACACTCCAAGCTAGCTTCTTCTATATAACGTGTAAAAGGTACAGAAATACCTTGAATAATTTCTACATTCTTTCACAAAAGGCACCAACATAGAAGCCACCTAAGAACCACCTTTTTACCCCTTTAGACTTTACATCATATTATACATATACATATACATATACATATACATATATATATAGATCAATATGTTTTCCAAATGGAAGACATGTTAAGTAAAGCTCTCACCCAAAAACAAAAAACCATGGAGGAGACGATTTCTTTAATCTTTCATGGGTGCAATTTGGCTAGAGACCTTGAATCAAACCTCCCAAACTTGGCTAACCAGCCTAACATTCTTTCAAAATCATGCAATGAGATCACACAAATCTTCAGGAACGCGAGGGATCGATTGAATGCTGATCCAATGTCATTAGGCCACATGATCTTTCATGGACTGCATCAACCAGGGGAGTTGGATCAGATTGGTGAAGGAGTACAAGAATGGGTAAAATATGATGGTTCTCAAGCAATGAATATATTCCATGGACAATTTTTAGCTGAGAAGAGTAGTACTGAGTTTGAGGCACACAGAATGCATGAAAGGAATATTAGTACTGGACTAGAAAGGCGTGGTTCGGGGTTCCAAGTTCCGGTCGAAGCTCCTATGCAACTGAGGGGCAGTGGAGGGGAGGTTCAGCCATCTGATTCAGCCGGAGATTCATCCACGCAACGTCGACGAAGAAGGTAAAAAAAACAACTAATTAATTTAGGTTGTGTTCGGTTGTATGGAATTGGAGAAAAACGACTTGCAAAATTGAACTATTTTTTATTTATTTATTTTTTTCTTTTCAATTTTACAAATTTTAATTTCAAAGCTCCAATCCTACGTAGACGAAGAGGAACACAACATTAGAATGTATGTTCTTTGTGTTCTTTAACATATTGTGCAATGAAGAAGAATTCTCTTAATATAAAAAATGGAGGATAGTTTTAACGTGCATATTTTTAATGTATATTTCTCATATAATCTTTGTTTCCTTGTGAAAAAAGAATTTCATAAAACGTGACAGTAACACTTTAGAAACAATAATTAATGTATATTCCATACATTAATTTCCATTTAAATGATTGAGAACCAACTGGGGCTGTCACTTTAATGTGAATGGTCTGGGCAAAATTTCTTTATATGACACAGTCGGAGCTTGTTAGTTGACCAGGAAATTCAAACGTTGGACTGCATGAAATATTGGGTAATTAAGGGCTGTTTGGTTTTTAATTATGCAGAAATGTTGACACAGAGAAAAGGATTGTTAAGGTACCAGCACCTCAGATGGGTAATATTGAAATTCCACCAGAGGATGGTTTTATTTGGAAAAAATATGGCCAGAAGGATATTTTCGGATCAAGATTTCCAAGGTAAATTTACTGATTTTCCTTCATTTTCTCAGTGATATTTCACAATGAATTGTCAATTGTGTAGAATGCCGGTACATGGCCATGTCCATTAATTTGACATGGTCTTAGCATTACATGTGCATTTTTACTTTAGAAAAGTCTCTGCATTGAAAATTTGAAACTGGTCATGTCATATAGTCTAATGCTGCTGCCAAAATCTATGGCGACGACATTTTCCACTTTTAACAACAGTTGTGAGCGGCCGCTGTAGATCATTTTTGTTGTAGAGCAAAGAGTCTATGGATAATGCTTAGCTACTCACTAATGAGTAAGGTGAAGCTACTTACCCTTATATGATCCAATAAAAAAATAACACATCACATTTAAGCTACTCACACCTATTATGTATTATGGTTACAACATTTCAACAATGATGAAGCACTTTGATTGATGATTTGTCTTTCAGGAGCTACTACAAATGCACCCACCAAAAACAATTCCACTGCCCTGCCAAGAAACAAGTACAGAGGCTCGAAAACGATCCCTACACATTGGAAGTGACATACAAAGGCGAACACACATGCCATAATATGTTGTCCCCAGCGCCGCGAACACCTCCACCAATGTCCACGGAATTCACAAGAAGGACGACGCCAAAAACCGCCACTACTCAGCCTATATCACCGCCATCTGCTCCAATGCCTCTCAGCCGATGGACTTCAACAGTGGACAGTAAGCCAAGAGGAGACAGCACAATTAGTACCTTCATTAACACACAAATGCAAATGCATAGAAGCTTTGGCCTCAGTAGTGACATTGCAGGTCCCTCCAATGTCGAATATGGGAGAGTAGTCGACTACCAGCAGCCGGTTACGGATTTGGTTGATGCCATGTTTAATTCTGGTAGTTGCAGCAACAATATCATGGAGGACATCATCTTCTCTTCCATGGAAAGCAAGTGGGAAGGAGCAGACAATAAAAAATGATTAATTGCTTGATAGGTCGATCTGGTTAGATTAAGTGAATATAATAGTTTAACATATTTAGGTCATCAATTATGACCATTCAATTTCGTCATTAACTTGTTTTTAGAGAAATCAGTACTGTACTTCTTTACTTTCATAATTCTTATATGGCTGAGGACTTAATCGTCCACAGACCAGTGTCTTAATCAAAATGTGTTTATGTACACATGACCAATCAATGAAAGTTGATTATATGATTCCAAAATCTCTACAATATAATGTATGTGTATATATATATATGGGTTGCTCATGGCTTGTACATAGTGCATCCTTTCATAATCCTACTGTGACTACATGCAACCTAAAATTTCATGGTGGCTGAACACCATTTTGAAAAATGGTAAAAAGTTGGTCAAGCTGTCTAAACCAATGGACTTGAACCACCATGCACCTATTTTACAACTTGCATCAGCTTTTCCAACCAGGCTAGCAAGCTTATTAATATTCAAAAATGAAATGGAATGGATACAATCAAGCTAAGAAACATATTTTAATATGAGAAAATGCAAATTTAATTCATATTAGATTTGTTTAATTTAAAAATAATAATAAAATATGTCTTGTCCAAGAATATGATAATTGAATTGGATTAAATTGACCATATTTCATAATCTGCAACTCTTACTCATATTAAAAGAGACAGACCTAAGAGCATGCACATGGTCTTTGGTATGATGGTGTTGTTCAAGTAGTAAAGAATCGGCCTTCAAGTACTCCATTCCCTTCCTCTAAACACTATTAACTTGTAGTACCCAATGCTATTTACTCGTTCTTCATCCCAAGGCAGGCCCCTAAGTTAAGGGTCCTGTGTCAAAAATAAATTGGGGCCTACTTAGCTTAGCCTCATTCTCACATAAAAATATATAAATAAAATCTATTGCATGTGATTAAATTAATGTAATAAAGTAAGTTTTATAACTGAATTTTATCAAGAGTTTACAAAATTCACAAGCAACTTGAACCACCAGAATAAAAAGTATCGAAAAATCATTCTCATCACAACAAATTAGCTTGAATGCTAGATTTACAAACACCGTGAACACGTAGGCAATGGAACTATATATGGTCAATACAACATAAAATTAGTCATAGACACAAAATAATTATCAAACTAATGATTCAAATTATAAGGAATGTATATATTAGTACATAACCAAAAAAAAAAAAAAATGTGAAATTTACCACTGCCTCGTGACCCCCCAATCAATGGAAAAGGGATCCTTGCTTTTTGGTAGCTAATCGCTATCAGTAAATCAACGTGTGCTGCTGGTTATAAATTTTGACCCCTCTCTCTTCTTTAGGTGCTCTCTCTCCTCTGTTAAAGTAGTGGGCTGGCTCGATTGGGCTGTATGGGCTACATTAAAAAGAAGCCACATCAATGTGTGTTGGGTATAAACTTTGACCCCTCCCTCTACTCTTGGTTCTCTCTCTCTCTCTCTCTCTCTCTCTCTCTATATGGGCTCACAAAAAAATTTGGGGGCCTTGTGCAGTGGTACCATCCGCCCCACCCAAGGGCCGGCTAGACCATCCCCTTCCCCTAGTGGCCACTAACTACTAACTCTCTGACCATTACCGGATATAAAAATAAAAATAATAACCATGCATGATGAGTGGAAAATGTTGGCACTTAATTTTGTTTACATAATTATCGATGAAAAAGTAAAGAAAATATAAAAGGTAAAACTTCAGCATATTTGAAGAGTTCATGATTTTTGAGCTGGAAAAATTCTCGGCCTAAATAGCATTGTCCAATTTGAAAAAAAAAAAAAAATTGTAAAGAAAATAATTTTATTTTTTTTTATTTTGTGATTGGTAATGGCAAAACAAGTTTTCATATTTATTAAAAGGAGTAATAATAGGAAAGGCCAAAAACTCTTTGAATCTGGTCTGATCAGGCCGGTAAGACTCTTTAAAAAAAAGAAAGGAAAAAAATAAAAAAAAGGTCAGCCTTTCTTTCTCCTCATAGTCTGGGAAACTAAAAAGTATCCTAACTTTGAGAGGGAGAACTCTGTAACTACTGGGAGAAGAACTCCATGTCAGTCATGATATTAGCAACTATAGATTGTTCGAAGGCCTCTCTTTTTGAAGAGATGGACTCTGGAGTTAACCTAATTGATTTTACAATTCCAAAACCCTAGCGGTCTACATTATTGATCGGAATCATAATTATACATACAGTGTATAGATCGATGAGTGAACTATAACCGAAATTTTAAATCGCAATACATAACAATGTATAGATCAATGAGTGAGCCATTACCAAAACACTAAATCGTAATACATAATAATTATATATTAGTGAAGATTTGAACACGAGTAGTTAAGTGTGTGTATATATATGTTTTGAGTCCTTGAGTTCTTATCTGGAATTTGTTTAGTTAAAAACATCAATTCAGTTAAAATAATTTGATATATTTCTTTCCAATGGTATAGTTCTATTAATTTTGTTTGTGATTATTTTTCTTCTCCCTCAGTAACTCCAATTTTGGAGACTTTTTAGTTTTTAGGTTTGTGAGCTAGGAAAAAGAAAGAGAAGCAAGATATTTTATTTATTTTTTTCTTTCATTTTCTTATAACTTTTTTTTTTTTTTTTTTTTTTTTTTTTTTTTTTTTTAAGTCTGACCTGGCCTAGCTATGTCAAATTCAAAGAATTTTTGCATTTTTGTTTCGCGTTCCTTATCATTCATTACTCACCAACAACATATATATTGTTTTGTGCATTTCATGATTTTGAGTGGTATTTTACATATGTATACAAGTATATATACACTTATAATATAACATCACAATTAAAAATGATACTCCATTCAAAGATTCTTTGGATTGAGTATCACTGCTCATTAATTTATTATAGAATTTATTATAAAATTAATTCATTACTCATTAGTTCAGTTTCACAATTGTTCATACACTTCAAAATTTTAGATAGTTATAGAAATGAATGGACTTGTATGGAATATTTCAATATTTTGAAAGTCCATTTTCAGAATTGTTCATACACATCAAAATTTTAGATAGTTATAGAAGTGAATGAACTTGTATGGAATATTTCAATATTTTGAAAGTCCATTTTCAGAATGGTTCATACACAAATATTTTAGATAGTTGTAGAAGTGGATGATGGACTTGTATGGAATATTGTAGAAATTTATAAAGGAGGAAATTTAACGGTTGATTGAGATAGCATTATAGTCATCCTTTGTAGAGATTTCTAAAGGAGCAAATTTAACCGTTCATTGCGATACATCATACTCGTCATTTGATGCTTATAAATCAACAAGTCATGTAACAGTGTGTGAATGTATTGCTCAACAGTGAGGGGAGCGCCACTACAATCTTAGAAAATGTATAGTGTCCATCATTATCTACCACTATCACATTACAGAATTGTAAGAATGGAAAACAAAAGTGAAGAAACAGAAACCTATAAGTGCAGATGGAGATTAAGGGCTTACAACCCAAACTTGCTGTAAATTTGGATGGCTTCCAACCTCCAACCTTGGTCACTTCAGCCAAAATAAAAAATAAAAAATATAAAAAACATAAATAATATATAAACATATAAATAACACCCAACAAATACAATTCAATATTCCATCATTTTCTCGGCATCCAAACAATTGGAAAAGGAGATTAGCTTACATTATTCGTCATTAACTCCCTGGAAGCCCGTAACTAATCCCTCCTCCTCCTTGTTGACATTACTCACTGTACACAATTAGCACAAACAAATTAAAATTAGTAAGCACTTTCCATTTTATGATAAACTATTTTTCAATTAAAAATATTTTCTCTTCACTCTGTTTTTCATTATTCACTTTACTCTAGCCGTGGGTGATCAATAGATAATATTCTAAAACGTAACACATCGAATACTTTGAAGCTAGATTAATGTGTTGCAATCGCATTTCTTTATGTTTAGTCACAATCAGTATGCAATTAATGGAGAATAGAATATTATCCATTTTTTTTTTTTAAAGAGTGGTTCTAGGGGGATGACGTCCAAGATGTGAGGTAAAGAGTCTTTTTCACTACTCTATTATTAAGAATGTCTCACATTAGATCCAGATAAGAATTGAAATGGGTATAATGTTTTTTAGTGGATACAATACAAATATTGTCTATGTTTTGCACATTCTTTTTTAAATGTTCACAGTTTTGCTGATAAGGTATCTGCTTACATTAATTTTGATATTCTGGATTTTGATCGAAGATGAATTGTTTTACAGTAAATATGGATTAATTGTTGTTGAGGTTTTGTTGAGGATAATAGGATTTAATAGACAATAGAAAATTATATATGTAACACAAAAAGAAAAACAATGAGAAAACAAGAAAGAATAAATGGAGATCGAGTACGTATGGTATAGACTAATAGTGGGCATGATGAGTGATATTAACAGTGAAATACAACTGAGAATTAACTCGAAAGCTCCATAAGTCAATGCAGTCACGTTCTGCTTGAAGATGGTTATATTGTTTACTCTTTGGATCAACCACAATAACCTTCACACCTCCACCCTCTTTTCGCTCAATCTCTGATATCATCTTTTTCTCATCTTTAATAGCATGGAGGACATCATCTTCTCTTCCATGGAAAGCAAGTGGGAAGGAGCATAAAATAAAAAATGATTAATTGCTTGATAGGTCTCGTTAGATTAACTGAATATAATAGTTTTAACATATATAGGTCATCAATTATGACCATTCAATTTCATTATTAACTTGTTTGTGGAGAAATCAGTACTGTACTTCTTTATTTTCATAATTCTTATATGAACTGAGGACTTAATCCTCCACAGACCAGTATCTTAATCATAATGTGTTTATGTACACATGACCAGTCAATGAAAGTTGATTACATGATTCCACAATATCTACAATATAATGTATGTATATATATATATGGGTTGCTCATGGCTTGTACATAGTGCACCCTTTCATAATCCTACTGTGACTACATGCAACCTAAAATTCACGGTGGTTGAACACCATTTTGAAAAATGGTAAAAAGTTAATCAAGCTGTCTAAACCAATGGACTTGAACCGCCATGCACCTATGTTACAACTTGCATTAGCTTTTTCCAACCAGGCTAGCAAGCTTATTAATATTCAAAAATGAAATGGAATGGATACAATCAAGCTAAGAAACATATTTT